TTTTTAAATAAAGACAAGTTTAGTTTGTTGGTGATTGTTGACATATATAATATTTTAAATTAGTATTTTTCAATTTACCCTACCAACCATTGGAGGAAATTTCAATATCTTTAATAAATAGTAGTAAAAAGAAGGAAAAATAGAAAAAAAAAATTTTATCACATTTTGGATTAGACCTTTTTTGGTTGTTATTTCTGTTATTAATTTTTTATTTTTATACATATAAAAAATATAACATGAATGGGTTATTTATTTCTACTATTTATTCAATTTTAATAAAACTACAAATTTACTTTTTTCCTCTACATATTTATTTCATAATAAAATTTAAAGAAAAAAATCAAATAGTAAATATAAATATCAAGCTTTAAAAAAATCTTAAAATTTTCTTTTTGTTTTTTTAAATAATATAAAATTTTCACTTGCTGAAAAAAAAATCCCATCTGGAATTGTAGTTCAAAAGAAACACGTATTTGGTTTTCTCTTCTAACGTCTGTCCTTTTTTTTAATTATAGAATTGACATTTTTCAGCATGGAATCTGAATTATGAGAGGGCAAATTGTTGTGTTTTTGACAAGTCGATGGACACGTTTTATCATTGAATTTGGTGCGAGATTCGAGGTGTCCATTATAAAGGATGATGATGTGGCCCGGCCCCACCTAAGTAGCCACCCAAAATCACAAAATCTTACACGTGGCACTGTAAATCAATGCCACCGGATCGGATGGCAACAACTTTATTACTTTTTTAAAAGGTTAAAAACACTTTTTAATTATAATTAAAATTTTATTTAAATTTATTTTTATGAGAATTAATCAATTTATTTTCATTTGCAATCAATTAATCTTTTTAACATTTATTTATATTTAGTAAACTCTTATTTTGATTAAAAATAATATAATTAATTTTTTATTAATTATTTTAAATTTTAATTTGACATTAATAAAATAAATTAAAATTTAATAAGTGATGCAATTAGCATAGATAAAATTAATAAAATAATTTGAGCTTTAAAAGTAATAATTTTTAAAATAAAATTTTAAATATATCAAATCAATATGTAAAATAAACTTTTAAAATTATTTGAAAAAAAATTAAATTTAAACAAAATTAAAGAATAATTTTGATCATATTATCAATTTATATATATAAGTCTTAAATAATTTTTAAAACTATAATACAATTCCTTACATTTTGTTTTCAAAGTTAAAATTTTCTCCTAAAGAATTTAAAAGAATGTGGAAGAGTAAAATAGAAGAAGGATAGGGATGGATCAATGAGAAATGCATGCATGTGGGATTCATTCAAGAATCTATTCAACCACACTGGAATTCCTTGAAGTTGTAAAGAAATTTAGAAATCTAAAGTCAAAATTAGCACACAATAAAAAAAAAAAAAGATGGATGCCACTATTTCTTTATCCATTTTGTTGTTTTCGAGTGCATATTTCAAACAATTGTGTCTAAATATTCTTAAACGATTAGCAACAACCTGTCACTTTCTGTCCTCTTCCAATGTTTCTTTACAATGCTATTTTTTTCTTCAACAATTTTAAGTTTAGTTAGACTTTTTTTTTTTTCTATAAAACCACATTTTTCATCTAATGAAAACCATCTCCTCAACAGTTTCTTCTTACAAAATTAAAGAGTTTTCATATTATTTTTTTTAAATATATTAATTTAAAGATAAAAAATATTAAATTATTAAAATTATTAAATATCACCATTTAAAGATGTTTTTATAAACTCATTGACTAAATTAATAAGTGACGACATATCTTGATGATTTCGTTGAATATTATTGAAAAATATTTAATGAGAAATGAGGAATCTAAGTTTCCAAATGAAATCTAGCCACCAATAATGCACCACCGATGCTTTGATAATCCAAGCTCTCCAATTATTAAGGACAATTAAAAGCTAGCTAATTCGTGGAGGGGAACAAAGAAATGAGAAAGGTAGGTACTACCAAATACACCCCCATTCACAAATAAAGCTAATAATCTTTTAAGTTTTAATTGTAATTAACCTACAAATCCTCTACATTTTTATGGGCTTAGCGTTTTAGGCCCACTTGAAAGTCTAATTTGGGAAAAGTATGGGCCACAAGCATGTGAAAAAAAATAATCAAAGTACCAGAATACCCTTACTAGAGTTAAATTTTAGGCTAAATAAAAATACTTTTAAAATTTATTATTTTATTTAAATAAAATTTTATTTTGTTGCTAATAACTTTTATATTTTTATTACATTCAAATAAAAAATTGATTTTAAATTACATAAAAAATAATTAATTTTTAATTTATTTTTAAATAACCACTTAATTTTAATTTGAATCTAAATAACTTGAACATAAATAATTTTTTGAAATAATAATTTATTTAAATATAAATTAAATAATAAAACTTAATATAATAAAAATATAAAAGTTTATTTAAAAAATAAATATTTCATGGGTTTTTTAATTTTTAACCTAAATTTTATTGTGAATTAAGAAGGGTAGAATGGGTAAAAAAGGGAGAGGAATTTTTTTAGAGGTCTTATTCTAACAATGACCGATGGGATGGTAGGCTCGACAAAAAGACAATAGCAGTGGAGCAGTTGGTCACATCCGAAGGGGACCGCTTCGGTTGTATTGGTTAAGCGCTCGTAGGAGAGAGGATGGCGGTGAAAAATAAAAAATAATTGGGCAGAACCGACATTGTTAGCGCGTCATCCACGCGCCATGTGGAGATTTCTACTTAGTTTTGGCATGATTTTTTTTTTCATCAAGTAATATTCATATTTTTTAAGTTTATAAATTAGAAAAAAAAATTAAAACGATTATAAATTGTTTTTATAATGCATTAAATTAACCCACTAAGTAATCAACATTGCGAAAAAATAAATTAATTTAAAATATGATATAATAATATAATATAAATAATAAATTTTAAAATTTTAATAATTATTATATATATTTAATAAAATAAAAAATAAAATTTATATTTTTATGTAAATATAAATTTCAACATATAAATATTATATAAAATATTACAAAATACATAAATTTTTATATTTTAATCACACAAAGATATAAATTATCCTATCGCAGTTGCAACTAATCTCCTGCGATTGCTCCTACTAGTTACACTTTCTAACTTCCTACGTGGATCCAGCTCATTGTATCGATTTCGACCTTGGTTACTTACGACTTGGCGTACATGATACCTTGCATTAACCAATCGTATAGTCCCACCTGTCACAATCAGCTTCTGATGTCGGTGGGTACCGGTTTCTCCCTTCTTGAGATTGTAACCTGTACAAATATGTGGGAGACTGCCGAATGAAAGTGTTGTAACCTTGCTAGGGCCCACTAATCAAGTAGCCATATGTAATTTCACCGTTGATCCGATCGTTCTTTTGGCGGCTACCCATTGAAGCTGACCATAGCCCCCACCATTTCTTTTCCCTCCTTTTTGTTTTATTATTTATTGGGTAATATGAAATTTTGCTCTTTTTCGGGTAAAATTTTAATTTGTCTTACAAGATAAATAGTGTTTCATGTCTGTTATTTACATTTTTTTCTTAAAATATGTTATTATTTAGTTAAAGTTGTGCAAATAAATAAAAATTCATTTAGATTTGGTCTGATGAATAGTTTTATTTTTTATTTACTTTTAAATAAAGTTTGCTATTAAATGTTTTTTTTTTAACTTTCTACTATTTGATTGATTTGTATGTAAATAGGCAGCCAACACAATGTTCGGCATCATAAAAAAATAGGAAAAAAAATAAAAGTAATGATGATTTTGAATTTTTAGGAGATATTCATTTATAATATAAATAAAATATTATAACGGATTTATTAATTTTAATATTAAAAAAATTTTAAAGAAAACTTTGAAATATCTTTAAAAAAATAAAATTTTTAATTTTTAAGAGTACTTAAAAAATTTTAAAATGTCCAATAAAAAAATTTTACATTATTTTTTATTTTTTAATTCTAAAATGCCACAAGCCTATTTACATTCATTTTTGTATAAAAGTTACATAATTTAAAATTAATAAAATCATATATATATATATATTAAATATATATTATATTTAACATAAGGATATAAATTATAATATAAATATTTTATATTTTATATTTTATATATATTTAATATCGATCAAATATAACATAAATATAGGAACTATCGTAAGTATTACGTAAGAAAGTTCAAACTCAACTTTTACAGATTGAAATGAGAATAAATTTTAGTAACAAAAGCAAAACTGGTTTTGGAAGTGCAGTGTGTTGTGGAATTAATAGTTGGGCAGACAGGTGGTCTTCAATGATTAATCCTACCCTGTTTTGACTTTTTTTACACCTGAATAGTTAAAAGAGAACTTTGATTTTTTGGTTAACTGATTAAAAAAAAATTTCAGAACACACGAAAGTTTTAATCATATTTCTCCGTCTCCAAAATATTTATCATATGAAATTAATATTTTTATTTTAATATATTTAATATTAAATTTTAAATATTTTATAAAATTAAAATTTTTTATTTTTTAATATAAAAAATAAAAAATCATAAAAATAATTTTAAAATATAAAAATAAAACTTTTAAATATTAAAAAAATATAATTTTGAGATATCTCAAAAAATAAGATGAACAAAAAAAATAGAGAGATTTTTAGTCTTATCTCTTATCTGATGAAAAAAATAAAAATTGTGATTTAATTTAATTAATTTATATAATTATATTTAAAAAATTAAATTTAATAATTTTAAAATTTTATATTTTTAAATTGAGATATCATTTATATAAAAAAAACAGAATAAAAAAAGGAGATGACGTTTAAAATTGAAAATTAAAAAATAAAATAAAATAAAAAGTGAAGATATTTTTAAATCTTTTTTCATAGCATAAAATATTGGAATATTTATAATGTAACAGAAAAAAAAATTAAAGAGCAAAGAGAGAGAATGTGTATTGTCTATTTTAATAAGAACTTTTCATGAGTTGAAGTATCCAATAACCCCATACTCTCCAATCACAGACCACCACCTTCTCCCTCTGCTTTTTTCTGTTTCTCTTCCTAATTTGGTTCTTCTCTCTCTTCCCCCAAAGATTTTAACAAATTTTAGATTCATTCCTTGAAGCTTGGTAGCTTTGCTTTTTGAGCTTGGTTTGCCCTTTTTTTTTTCCTTCGCTTCTTTCTTCTCTATTGTTCATTCCTCAGTGTAAAAGGAAGAAACAACAGATCTTTTCTCAGCTTTCCTCGGTGCTTCTCTATTCGATTCAGTTTTTTTTTTTTCCCAATTGGGTTTTCATTTCCAGGCTTTTTTTTGGGTTCACCTGATCAGCTTCTCACTTTTTGCCTAATGGGGTTACCAAGGAAGTTCAAGTTCAGTGTTAGTTTTCAGTTATAAACTACTCAGTATAGCAAAAGAAAAAAAAGTTATTAAGAAAATATTTTCTCATTTCTGTTATAAATATAGAGAGTTCATATTCCAGTTTCCTTCAATTATTCCTGGGTATTTGCTCTTTTAGTCTTTTACATTTCTTTTGTTGGTAGTTTTGGAAATTCACTGTTTTAGATCTTAATTTGAGTGTTTTTACTTTGAATGGCACTTGATTTTGTAGATTTTCTTTGAAATTCTTGTTTTCTTTTGGAAGTGGGTCTTTTCTAGATTCCTCAGGGATTGCCTACACACTGAAAAAAAGTATTCTGATTCCTTGCAAATGCTTCCTGATTTAACGCAGATATTTTTCCTTTGATGCCCCCTACCCCTCTGCATTTTCCCTTGTCGTTTCTTTCTCTGTTTTTGCCCTGTTTTCAATGCTATAACCGAAATTCCATTCTCAAAGTGATCAATCATCTGAAACGATCAGTGAATTCGGAACTTTGTTTGAATAAAACTTTCATGTTTTGGTAGTATTTTGTGCTTAAATTTGATGTTATGAAGTGGGAAATGGAAATTCTGTCGCCGACATCTTATCTCTCTAGCACAAATTGGTTTATTGAAGAGGGTAAGAGCACGAAATGGACATCAGCAGAGAACAAGATATTCGAGAATGCCTTGGCGGTCTACGATAAGGATACTCCTGATCGCTGGCAGAAAGTGGCTGCGATGATCCCGGGAAAGACGGTAGGAGATGTAATCAAGCAGTATAGAGACTTAGAAGCTGATGTTAGCAGTATAGAAGCTGGGCTGGTTCCAATTCCTGGATACAACACCTCTCCATTCACATTGGATTGGGTGAATAGCCATGGCTATGATGGATTGAAACAGTCATATGTACTTGGTGGAAAGAGATCTTCATCAGGCAGGCCTGTGGAGCAGGAGAGGAAGAAGGGGGTTCCTTGGACAGAAGAGGAGCATAAGTATGTTTTTGCCTTGAAATTTGTTCTGCTTATATTATTGATTTAAATGCTGTTCAATGACAGTGAAAAATTCTAGCAATTTATGACAAATTATAATTGTACTAATTCTTTTAATGACCTTCATTTTCTGTTTGTATCAGCCATACTTTCAGTTTTATATGTAACATGTAATAAATCTATTATAGCGATTTTAGTTGAGATGTTTGAGTGATAATTTGCTTAATTAATTTATGTTTAACTTGCATTTTATTGACAAGAGTGTTCATGGATTTTTCACAGATTGTTTCTAATGGGCCTAAAGAAATATGGCAAAGGGGATTGGAGAAATATCTCCCGCAATTTTGTTGTCACTAGAACACCGACTCAAGTGGCTAGTCATGCTCAGAAGTATTTCATCAGGCAGCTTTCAGGAGGGAAGGATAAGAGAAGAGCTAGCATTCATGACATAACAACTGTCAATCTCAATGACACAAGGACTCCGTCACCGGACAATAAGGGAGCTCCTTCACCGGAGCAGTCTTCAGTGCTCATTCAGCAGCCCAATTCTGCTGCCATGCCCAGAACACATTTTCAATGGAATCAGCCTTGCAGTGGGGCAACAATGGCTTTCAATTCAACGCAAGGAAATATGTTAATGTCCTCTCCTTATGGGATTCCCTCCTATGGATTAAAAATGCGGGGGCAGAGTCTGCACAGAAGTGTTGCTCATGAGTCTTATTTTGGACCTCAAAATTTGGTTTTTCAGATGCAGTCGGCACAGCAATATCCTCAAGGATGAGACAACAACTGTTCCGAATTTCTCTTGGCTAGATAAGCCATGTCTTCCTTAAGTCGATTAGTATTAGCTGTCTTTTGTGCTTTTTTACATGGCTGTCTTTTGTGCATGGTTTTATGTGAATATATTATCAAGAACTCGAGTTTAGTCCTTAACCTTCAAACCCGAGGGGATAGGATTGAGTTTTGCTAGGAATTTAGACTGTGAAATATGAAACTTTGAAGGAGATTCTCAAACATGAATTTCCCTTGTATTTAAGATTCTGTAGTTGAATCTGATTGTCCTTTGATCAAATTGCTATGTTATGTGGTGATAGTGGTGAGCTCAGAAGAACAAGCTGGATATTTGTTATGAATAAAGTTGTCTTAGAGTCTAGGAATATGATTTGAAGCATAAGAGAAGATTACCCAAAGATAATATTGGAGTCCATGATATATGCATCACCAAGTACGGTTGGAACTTGAAATTGCAGGCTCACATGAAGAATGAAGTTAACGAATAAGCATCTACAATCAGAAGTTGAAAGTTTCGACTGTTTTAGGCATGACTGGTTGTAAATATTTTAGAAATGTTTGTTTTCACGTTTTTAGATGTTAATCAATCTAGTTGTTGACTTTTGGCAGCTCCATGTTGTAAATCTTGGTCATTAGATTCAAACCAATGATTCCAAATTTCCAAGAGTACATGAAACTTCAAAATTTACTGCTATGCCTGAAATCAAGGGCAAAAGTTATAATCTATAAGTTGCAAGGTTTTCAAGGTAGGTAACTGCACATTTTTGAACTGGTTTAGATACTCCATTATTTTAGTGAACAAAAGTTAAATATAGCCCACTGGATACTCGAACTCAAATTGGCTTGAGTCATAGGGCACTTGTTTTGGAATTTCATAGTATAAGATTGCCCGCTTCACTATTCAAACTTCTTTAGACTATTGCACTACCCCATTTTCGTACACTTCGGATGGCCTACTTGACTGTTCCTAACCTACAAATCTTAGTCGAGGCTGACTCCGATTTCCACTAACTTAAGCATCATATTCTTGAATACTTCTTTCATTCTTGGTAACCCAATGAGATCTTTATTAAGAGATCCTTTTCCATAAGAGGAAGGTTCCTGCTTAAAGTATATATTATTGGTTACACTAGGAGAATATAGCGTATAAAAGCAAGATTCAGGTCAGATTACCCTGTTGATTTCCTAGCTTATTTATATAATTTGTGGTTCATCTTTTGTTGTAAAACCCTTTTAAAGTATGCTATTTAAGATATCTCTTTCCTTTGATCTTCCATTTGCTCAACCTATAAAGCACAGACATGCATAATCGCGTGACCTTTTCGATATGTCGAATACATATTGAATTTAGTCAAATGAGACAAAAAAAAAAAAACAATTCTTATGCAGATAATGATATTTTATGTTATTTTATTATCGTGTTTATCGTCAGTTTTTCTTCACTTAATGTTGCTCATATAATTTTTAGCAAATGATTATAATATATAAAATATTTTTTATTGTCATAGCCGTGATCTAATTTTCTAAAAATTACTACGTTCTCGCATTCATATGGTGTAGAATTCATATATCGTGTATGTGTCTATGATTCATAGAGCTCAACTGATCTTGTTAAGCCTATGAAATCATCATGATTTTGTGATACTAAGCGTACGGATGAAATCAACTTGATTAATAAAATAAAGATTCCACTTGTTTCTAAATCTTAAGCTCAAATTATGAGCTCCTTCGTGGAGACAAACCATTAAAGCTTTTCGTCAGGTAGAAAACAGTTTCTTCACCTTTTCCCTTAATCACAATAAAAGATTCCTTTTATAGTGGAAATTCCATTGACCTCAAAATTTTCTTTCATTCTTTGAGAAAAGAAAAGGAATCTTCTCCCTAATCAAGTGCTGATTTGAACTAATGATTTTGATCATTTAGTAAGACAAAGCAACAATGATGATGAACTAATACATCCATAAAGTTCATTGAAGTAACCCCATTTCCCTTCATCTAATCAAGTTGGGTTTAAACTCCTTTTTCTCTCAGTGAAACATAAAAAATCTGCTTATGAATCAATTGTGGCATTGAACGGAGTTCAAAACAACAATGATGATGGATCAATCAAAAGTAACTTAATTATAAATGTCAATAAACATTCAACTTATTAGTTGCCTCCATGGCCATGATTGTTTAACTTTACATTTCTTTTTCCCTTCCCATCTGTGTTCACACACGCACACAGATACTCCGCACTGACATGCAGTGACACTGTCGCCATATCTGATTGTGGGTTTAATCATGTGACTATTTGTATGTAGGGCATTACTGCAAGTTCTTGTAGCTCTTTATTTTGTTCATGTGTTTGTATTTCAACATAAATGACAAATGGTAAAATCAAAGTTCAATTCCGTGTGCTATTCCCATTCCTCATACCTTTTCTTTAAGTTGTCATTTAGTGTTTTGTTAGTACTAGCTTCTGTTTTTTACTATGCAGAAGGCACCCACCCAAAGTGGCTGGCATATTGTAATATTCAGACCCACACAACAAGCAAAGAATACAGGGAGGACATGACCCAAGATGGTCGTCCCCTTGCTTGGCACAGGGAAAGGAACTATAAGGGCTAGTATTTGAATTCTAGAATTGAATGTATAAATCAATTAAGTTAAATTTGAGGTTTTTTAAAGTTGGATTGACTAAACTGAGATTCATCTTTTTTTAAAGGAAAAGTCTTTCTGCAAGTTGATGGGGGAAAAAAAAAGCACCTTATGACCACATATTATGTCATAACTTAACACTATCGGTTGATCTTGTTTCTATTGTTTTCTGAACATTATTCTGATTCTTCTATTATAATGCTTCTGCTTGGGAAATAAAACTAAAACAACTGATGTTTGTAAGTGTAGCTCTTATCTGCAGCTACATTGACAGGAGGGTATTTATCTAAGCTGGCCCACAACTGATCTGTAATGATGGGGTTTTTTGTTACATTTCAAAGAAAGAAAAAATATGATGGAGGGAAAAAAAAAATCAGATGTAATACTTAGATCTCAGTACCATTAATCAGTGCAGTCAAACCTTACAAGATTGTATACTGTTTCAGGTGAAACAAATTAGAATACAACAATGTATTTTGAGGCATCTTAGGACAATAGAAAATGATAAAACAGAAGGGACATTTATATACCATTGGACATTACCCATTAGTATTATTAGATGGAGTATGGGATTTGGTTAAGAATCTGAGGCGGCATCAGTTCTGTTCCAGAGATTTCTCGTTATTAGGTAAGACCCAAAAATACCCTTTCTTTTGGATCAATTCCATCCTGAGAAATGCATCCACGCATTCTAAGATGTCAACTTGATTTATGCTACTGAAAACACCATAAATCAACATCAAGAAAAAGGAGAGACAGGCCCCCAGACATCATTCACATAATTGTGACTTGGAAACTGTGACAGATTGAAGTGCAACAACAATTTGGTTGAGTTCATTGATGGGCAGCCTTTCAGGACAAGTCCAAAATGGCAAAATCAGGGATGAAATTTGCTCATGGACCAAATGATTTTGCCTTTATTGTTAAAAAAAAAAAAAAAAGAGCAGGCACTGCTGGGCTGGGCCATGAAATCATTTAGCCTAAGGTTTCTCCTTGCTGCATGTCAATCCAAAGCCAAGGGGAAACGATGGATCATATGAATTGTTTCCAGTACTGCTTATTGGCAGCTGTTTGATTGTCCTAAATTGGTAATTGACCCTCAAATTCATAGTCTCCAAAAACTACATCAGTTATTCCCCTACCCTCTGTTCCGGGTAACCAAGCAGCAACCAGAGCATCCACTTTTTCCAAAAGCCATGGCTCTATAACCAAAGGTCTTCCAGATATCAGGATTGCCAATGTGGGGATTCTGTCAGCAACACTACTTAGTAACTCACTTCCATTTAAGGGGATTATTAGCTCCGAATTGTCTCCCGCAGACTCTGCATATGGTTCTTCACCAACAGCTACAATGGCGAAAGAAAAGTTCTGCCCAGCAAAGGTGTCTGGCGAAGGATACTTTTCATAAATCACCTCTGTTTTGTCTCCCATGACTTCTCTGAATGCATCCAAAATTGTTGTGCCTAAAAAGAAATAGAACCATATATTCTTTTTAAAGTAGTGGTATCAGATCAAACCTTGGAGTTAAAATTCGAACAAACAAAGATGTTGAACATTTAAAAGAGAACTCCACATGTTTTCCATTTTTCTCTTTTGTTTTGGGGGATTGGATATGGCGAAGGGGAGCCAAAGTTATTGAAAATAGTATCTAACTTCCTTAAACTGATCAAAACTAGAGTTTCCAAACCAATTACTCAACTGTACTGGGGAGTTAAGGGGGTGGGGTTTAGTAGAGGAGAAGAAAATATGGTTGAGATAATTGCTTACCAATTGTAATCCTGCCACTGCTTCCCTGCCAGTAACGTGTCCACCCCCCACACTGGTATCCGAGATTGTCAGCATGTGTTCCTGCAATAAGAACCCTTTTAACATTTTTCTCCAATGGAAGGAAGGCCTTTCCTGGGTTCTTTCCATTCTTCAATAGAACTAAGGACTTGCGAACGGCTTCACGGGCTAGTTCCCTGTGCAGCTGCAGGAAAATCATCGAGGTGACGGTGAATCTATAAAAGGTTAGAAAATCAACTAAGTGAATCTACAAAAGGTAGAAAATCAACAAAGATTTTTACAAATACTGTAGTATTAGATAAGACATTCAGTATCTACAGCAGCTGACAGCAATAAAATTTGCATTTAAAAGGTCAAACAACTGCAGCCACTTATTGCTCTAGATAATTGGGATCCCCATGGCCGCCTAGTTTAGATGTAGGGAGAGGTGGAGATCCTAGGTTTGGGTCCAAGTGCTCAATAATGGGATACCTTACCCCTATTACCATAAAGGTTTTTGAGCACCCTGAGATCCAGCATTTTCGTCATTGCGTCCTCTTTGAACTTTTCCTCCACACTCAATGATCCTTATTCTAATAGGTTCATGTTTATGTCATTTTATTTCATCAAAGAAAACAAACATAAAACAAATTATTGGAAAATTAATTGGGCAATTGATTTATATACCAATTCTTAAAAAACAAATTCTTGGTATATTTTTAGAACTAGAAAACAATCAATTATATTCCAAGAAATTCAGTGTGGTGAGACATTGGAGAAACTTTTCATAGTCCAAGAAGAGCATATCAATTATGATTGAGGCTAATAACTTAAATGCCGAATTCTAAAAATACTACCTTGCAGCCAACCGTATCTAGCAGAGATCTGTCAGAGAAGGGATATTCAAAAAGACCAGCAACATACTTCACTCTCAGTATTCTTTCAACAGCATCATCTATCCTGGACATTTGTATCTCCCCTGATTCCACCAGGGATGTCAAATCCTCAATAAATTGCTTATATCTAAGAGGCACCATCACCTGCATATGTTTTAGTCAGTTGAGAGTAAATAAAGATATGAATCCAAGAAAGACTCCTTTTTGTTTGGCTCCAAATTATACCATGTCAATTCCAGCATTAATGGCAGTATAAACACAATGGCGATAGTTTGAGCCTCTAGGTTCGCTAAGTCTGTCAAGTGCTTTCCAATCCGAAATCACAAAACCCTGCCACAGAAATTTCCCAAAAGTTTATCTAGATATAAATAAAATTTCCCTATGTGCATGCAATGCAACCTTAGCAAGACTGAAACCAAGTATCACTTATTTAACTGAGCTATTACTCAACCATTTTAACTAAAGATTCTTCATCTATGTGGAACAATTTCAATTCCAGACTTACATAAGTGTAAGTGGATTGCCTCTTCCTCCTCTCTAGAACAATAAGAAAAGAAGAAAACTCCCATTCCAATAAAAAAAAAATGGTGATCGCTGAGGTGGCTAATAGCAACTGAAATGCTATTTAGGATATAGTACAAATAAATTCTCTACCTTAAAACCTAGTTTGTCTTTCAAAATTTCTGTCAAGAGGAAATGATGAACATGAAGTTTACATCCATTCCAACTAGAATAAGATGCCATAACTGTTGAAACTCCCTGATAAAGACAGTCGAGATAAGGTGCCATGTGGATCGTCTCTAAATCATTGTATGATGATATGGTATTTCCCTCATTTATACCCTTTTCTGTACCTCCATCTCCAACAAAATGCTTGGCACATGCAATAACATTGTATCTGGAATCAAATAAGTAAATCATTAAGTTCCAATGATATTGCATATGTTAGATAAGTGCTAAACAGGAATTTATTAGAAATATATATTGTGCATGACAGGCAGAGGTGAAAAGATGATTAAAGATCCTGCCAAGTTCTTATGAAAACGAAACTGTAAACCGACACAGTATATTATAAAATGATGTGACAAGGGAAAGACCTTGATTCATACATGCTTTAGTTGAAATGAAATGCTTTATTGCCCATGCTTTGATGGCATCTGTTGAACAGATATTTTTAGATTTTCCTTAATCTCTAACAAGTCTAAGACTCTAAAATTTAGCAAGATTTATAATGGAAATATTTTGTTTTTGAAACTAATCAAATTGAAAATGAGTAGGCAAAACCTTCCAGCTACAAAAGGATAGCCCTTGGGATGTCCCACCGGTGGCTGTCCCTGTAAACCTGAAATAATGGAAGTCATCTTTCTAACAATGTTAGTGTCTTCACTGAAACTCTCATAGCATCTTCCCCATCTAGGATCTCTGCATACCTGTCACAACCCAATGAACAAAACTGCTCAGACAAATTGGTTTTCTAGAGTCAAAATAAAGCTTCAGATAAAAGAATATAATGAACAGATAATCCAATATTACATGGAACTTGTAATTTGAGCACTAATATGATATCAAATATCCAGTTAAGAGTCACAAACAAGCATTTGGTTCATCTGATTTTCAATTAAGACATGATTGATTATTGAAATGTTCAAGTATGCACCAAGACTGAGCTTCAGAAGGCTAAAACATTACTATCATTCCTTATAGGAAATAACTTGGAAAATTGAAAGCAAATATGATATTTCATGGCAGTAAAAGGAGCTACAGCAACTTAAAGCAGGGAAAAAAGTTTCCTTTACTATTCATATTTTTGCAATACGGACAAAAGAAGTTTAATTGTCATTATTGAAGTAAATTATTGGTATTCTATTCGATTTCACATCAGAAGTCAATTTAAGGAATGCAACCACTTCAAAAAAAAGAAGATTTGACCAATTACATTTATAACGACTTACAGCGACACAGGGAGCAAAGCTAAAGTGAATGCCACTTGCCCTGACTTCAAGAGCTACTGCAGCTCCAATCCTTTGAACCAAATCTGCATCTCTATTGCAATTTTCAAAAACTAATTAGAAATTTAGGAAATATTGATACCATATTTTTATTAGTCCCTACCTTTTCTTCAAATTAACCGGTATTTGCTGTTAAAAGGAGACATAAAAAGAAAGTTAAATGTATTCTTCTGATAAGTGATTAGTCTAGTTTATTTTAGATCGAAACTCTTTTTCCTCCCCCTTCCCCCTCCATTTTCCTATATGACTTGGGGAAATTTGTATCAAAATCTTCATGTCTTTGGTTTTATCAGCATTGTGATTGATAAAAACAGAATGGTTATTCATAATTCAACTTTGGGGTTAAAGATGCAACTTACCTCGTGGCTCCAAGGCCAATATTGTGAGGAAATATAGTGGCACCATAGAATCTGTTATTACCATGAACCGCATCAATCCCATATATAAGGGGTATTCTAAGCCTTGAATCAAGTGCAGCCTGCTGAAACCTGTCAACCTTATCTGCCCAATCGGATGGCATTGCTTTCTCTAAAGGCCCTTTTCCTGCACCACTGATCATACCGCCTACAAAATATATAGTCCACCAATCATTGCATGAAAAAGAAAAAAACCTGAAAAGAACATAGAAATAGATGTTAGGAAAATGGGGTCCAGTCCCATGTAAGTGGTTTTGGACCAAGTAAAGGTCATTGGCCTTGATCTTTTACTTTACACAGAACCCTAGCTACTTAATAAAAAGAGGTGGGGTTGTTTAAGGTGTGTGTCGACAACCAAGCAGAGAAAGAAGAAAAGCCAGGAAAAGCAGAGAGAGAAAAAGGAGAAGGGAGAGTTGGTTAAACGGAAGTCGATCCGTGGTCCGATTGAGTTGAAACCTTGTCAGGAGGTTTATGATTCAGAGTTATACATTCTGAACGGTGAAGATCGGGTTTGAAGCTCTCTAGGAAAAAATCCAGGGTGTATTTGTTGAGTCACTTATTTGGTGAGATTTCTCCAATTGTTTCTCTAGTTGTTGATTAACTCTAGTTTTAGCTAGAGAAGAATTTTGTATAACTATTATTTGATAGTGAAGATTTTTCTGGTGGCCCGTGATTTTTCCCTCTACACTGGAGGGTTTTTCACGTAAATCTTGGTGTGCTTTATTTTTCCTGCGCATTTGATTATTGATTATTGTCTATTGCTTCTGTATTGTTGTGATTATTTCTTCAGGCGCAACAAGTGGTATCAGAGCGAGAGTTATTTTGAGACATCGATACAGAAGCAACCCAGGATAGAAGTAAATTCTGTTTGAGATCATGGAGGGTGATACAGGTTCCATGATAAAATTGACAGCATCAAATTATTCAATTTGGAAGCCTATGATGGAAGATCATCTATACTGCAAAGATTTGTATGAGCCAGTATTGGGTGATTCGACTAAACCAGCAGATATGAAAGATGAAAGCTGGAAAAAGCTAGGTAGAAAGACGCTGGCTACAATCAGAAAATGGGTTGATATCAGCATGTTTCATCATGTAGCGCAGGAGTCAGATGCTCACATTGTTTGGGAAAAATTGGCAGCATTGTATGAGAGAAAAACAGGTATGAATAAAGTTATGCTTGTCAAGAAGATTGCAACTTTACAGTACAGGGATGGACGATCTGTTACAGAGCACTTGAGTGATTTTTAAGATATATTTAATCGGATGACTACTATGGAACTTAAGATGGATGATGAAATGAAGGCATTATTTCTTTTGGGTTCATTGCCAGACAGCTGGAATACTCTAGTTGTGACTGTTCTTAATTCAGCTCCTGATTATAAGGTGACATTGGAGATGGTAAAGGACAGTATGCTTAATGAAGAAGCGAGGCGAAAAGATGTAGACCCTGAGAATCAAGCTCTGGTCACAGAGAACAGGGGTAGAAACATCGACAGAGGTCAGGACTCAAAAGGCCGTGGTAAGTCTAAACATAGATCCAAGTCTAGAGGTAAAGTGAAGTGTTTCCATTATGGTAAGACGGGTCATATAAAATGAAATTGTAGAATCTTAAAGCAAGAGCGAAAAGATGAGAAAGGCAAGAGTTCAGATGATGGCAATGTTACAGCAGTGAATTCAGATAGTGATTCAGTTACTTTGATTTGTACACATGGTGATTGTAATCATGTTAGTGATCCCGGCATTGAGTGGATAGTTGACACAGGAGCGGCATATCATTGTGTTCCTAAGAGAGAGTTGTTTACAACTTACAAAGCAGGAGACTTTGGTTGTACCAAGATAAGAAACAAGAGTGTGTCACAGATTATTGGGATTGGTGATATTGTTGTACAAACCAGTACAGGCTGCATGTTGACTTTGAGGGATGTCAGACACATTCCAGATATGAGAATGAACTTGTTTGCTATTAATGTCCTTGATAAGGAGGGATATGAAAGTCGACAAAAGAATGGACAGTGGAAGCTTCTCAAAGGATCTATGGTAGTTGCAAGGGGAAAATTATGCTGCACAATGTATAAGACATGGATGCAATTGAACGGTAACCAGGTAAATACCGTTGAAAATGATGCTTCAGCAAACTTGTGGCACAGGAGGCTGGCACACATGAGTGAAAAAGGGTTACAGGTTTTGGCAAGGCACTCTCTCATTCCCTTGACCAAAGGTATGTCTCTCGATTCATGTGATTATTGTTTGTTTGGTAAGCATCATAGAGTTTCTTTTCGTAAAAGTTCTCAGAGAAAAGAAAATAGATTGGAATTAATTTATTCTGACCTATGTGGTCCCATTGAGGTTGAGTCATTAGGTGGTAGCAGATATTTTGTTACTTTTATTGATGATGCTTCACGTAAGACTTGGGTGTATATGTTGAAATATAAAAGTCAGGTACTGCAGTATTTTCAAAAATTTCATGCCATAGTTGAAAGGATGACAGGGTTACCCTTGAAGTGTATTCGAACTGATAATGGTGGGGAATACACATCTAAAAGCTTTGAAGAGTATTGCTCAAAGCATGGGATCAGGCATGAGATGACAGAACCTGGAACACCGCAGCATAATGGTATAGCTGAAAGAATGAATCGCACCATTGTGGAAAAAGTCAGATGTATGTTGAGGATGGCAAAATTACCAAAGCCATTCTGGGGTAAAGCAGTCAACACAGCTTGTTATTTACTTAACAGGTCACCATCAGTTCCTTTGGGCTTTGACATTCCAGAAAGAGTGTGGACAGGAAAAGATGCTTCATACTCTCACTTAAAAATTTTTGGGTGTAAAGCATTCATGCATGTGCCGAAAGAGCAGAGATCAAAGCTTGACAGTAAAGCTACACAGTGTGTGTTTGTAGGATATGGTGATGAGGAATTTAGCTACAGGGTATGGGATCCAGTAAAGAGAAAGACAGTCAGAAGCAGAGATGTGATCTTTCATGAAAAAGAAACCATAGCAGATCTTGAGAAAAATGAGAAGACTACACGAGTTACTGTTGAGTGTGATGTTTCAACACCGACAGGGATTTCACAGGAAAGAGCCACAGATGGTGAAAATGAGCCAGAAACAGAACTTGGGGATATGTATGAGCCAGCTACAGTTGGTGATGAGCCAGATGCTATTAGTTTTGAGCAGGGAGAGCAATCCTCTCTACCTGAGAGTGTTGAGCAGGGGGAGCTACCTTCGGCATCAAGTGATGTAGAGTCTCAGCCTAGAAGATCTACTAGAGAGCGCAGACCATCTACCAGGTATCCAAGTTCAGATTTTATTTTAGTTACCAGTGAAGGGGAGCCAGAAAGCTTTCAAGATGTGCAGGCTAAACCGGATAGAGAGCACTGATTAAAAGTAATGAAAGAAGAGATGGAGTCATTGCGAAAGAATGATACTTATGATCTTGTTAAACTTCCAACAAGAAAGAGGCCATTAAAGAATAAATGGGTGTTCAAGTTGAAAAAGGATGGTGACAAACTAGTGAGGTACAAAGCTCGATTGGTAGTAAAAGGTTTTTCTCAGAAATCAGGCATCGATTTTGATGAGATTTTTGCTCCAGTTGTAAAAATGAGTTCTATTCGAGTGGTACTGGGATTGGCAGCTAGTTTGAATCTTGAGCTTGAGCAACTTGATGTTAAAACTGTATTTTTGCATGGTGATTTGCAGGAGGACATTTATATGAATCAGCCTGAGGGTTTTGAAGTGAAAGGGAAAGAGTACTTAGTTTGCAAATTGAAGAAAAGCTTGTATGGCTTGAAACAAGCTTCGCGATAGTGGTACAAAAAGTTTGATTCTTTTATGGTGAGTCATAGCTATAAAAGAACAGCAGCGGATTCTTGTGTGTATATTAAACAATTCTCTAATGGTAACTTCATTATCCTATTATTATATGTTGATGATATGTTGATTGTAGGACAAGATGCTAGTATAGTTTGCAGGTTGAAAGAACAATTGTCTAAGTCCTTTGATATGAAGGATTTAGGTCCAGCAAAGCAGATTCTTGGTATGGATATTATCCGAGATAGGAGAGCTGAAAAGCTGTGGTTGTTACAGGAAAAATATGTTGAACGAGTGCTTGGTAGATTCAACATGCAACATGCTAAATCAGTTAGCAGTTCACTTACCAACCATTTTCATCTAAGTAAGAAATCTTGTCCAGTGTCTAAGGAAGAGCAACTAGCTATGTCTAGTATTCTTTATTCTTCTGCAGTCGGTTCTTTAATGTATCTTATGGTTTGTACAAGGCCTGACATTGCTCATGCAGTTGGTGTAGTGAGCAAATTTCTTTCTAATCCAGGGAAGGTTCACTGGGAAGCAGTAAAATGGATTTTTAGATATTTGAGGGGTACCTCAAAAATGTGTTTGACTTATGGAGTTTCACAACCAATTCTAGAAGGGTTTACTGATGCTGACATGGCAGGCGATCTTGATGGTAGAAAATCTACTTCAGGGTATTTGTTCACTTTTGCAGGAGGAGCTGTATCTTGGCAGTCTAAGTTACAGAAGTGTGTTGCTTTGTCAACTATAGAAGCTGAGTATATTGCAGCAACTGAAGCATGTAAAGAAATGCTTTGGATGAAACGTTTTCTTTTTGAATTGGGGTTGAATCAGAAAGAGTATGTGGTATTTTGTGATAGCCAGAGTGCTTTAGATTTGAGTAAGAATACCATGTACCATGCTAGAACAAAGCACATTGATGTTAGATATCATTGGTTACGTTTAGTGATTGAAGAACAGCAGATGCTATTGAAGAAAGTCCATACTGATAAAAATGTGGCAGATATGTTGACTAAGATACTTCCCAGGGAAAAGCTTGAGCTTTGCAGTAACTTGGCCGGAATGAGTTCCCTGGCCAAGGTAAGTTCCAAATGAAATTGCTATGGTGATGAATCTCCTTCTAATGGGACTGGAGGGGGAGATTGTTAGGAAAATGGGGTCCAGTCCCATGTAAGTGGTTTTGGACCAAGTAAAGGCCATTGGCCTTGATCTTTTACTTTACACAGAGCCCTAGCTACTTAATAAAAAGAGGTGGGGTTGTTTAAGGTGTGTGTCGACAACCAAGCAGAGAAAGAAGAAAAGCCAGGAAAAGCAGAGAGAGAAAAAGGAGAAGGGAGAGTTGGTTAAACGGAAGTCGATCCGTGGTCCGATTGAGTTGGAACCTTGTCAGGAGGTTTATGATTCAGAGTTATACATTTTGAACGGTGAAGATCGGGTTTGAAGCTCTCTAGGAACAAATCCAGGGTGTATTTGTTGAGTCACTTATTTGGTGAAATTTCTCCAATTGTTTCTCTAGTTGTTGATTAGCTCTAGTTTTAGCTAGAGAAGAACTTTGTATAACTATTATTTGATAGTGAAGATTTTTCTGGTGGCCCGTGGTTTTTCCCTCTACACTGGAGGGTTTTTCACGTAAATCTTGGTGTGCTTTATTTTTCCTGCGCATTTGATTATTGATTGTTGTCTATTGCTTCTGTATTGTTGTGATTATTGCTTCAGGCGCAACAATAGAAGCATATGCCTTAAGGTTAGAGTGAAATTATCTTATTTCAGGATGAATTGGGATTTGAGTAGTAACACATGTAGAGTTTGAACTTTTGGCTTTTAAGAAGTGTCTAGCATGTAATTTGCATGGATCATGTTCATGTTCATGTAAAAGTAGGTGAGGATAGTACCGATGGAGAGGTCTCTAACATCAGAGAAAGTAGCAACACAGAGCTCGATTTGGGTCATTTGACCAATCTTTTCTTGCAGGGTCATCCGAGTAACAAGGTCTTTGATTCGATCTTCTATTGGGGCATTTGGGTTCTTGTAAATGCAACTTGTCTCCTCTACTCCATTCACCTCTACCGACTACGCTCTAAGGCAAAAGCAGACAGAACTGGAAATGGAAGTGAAAGCAGATGAGAAGAAATGTTTCTATGCTTTGACTTGTATTGGGTGGTTTTTAAATAAAAATTATTGAAATGTGGAAGATGGCAAGAGATTTACGCAAAGGCCAATATGAGTTTGGTGACATGCTAATTCTATTAAGTATAAAATTAAAAAAAAAAAGAAAAAGCGAGAAATCGACAAATGGTGGTAGTTATAAATATATGGGGAAATAGCAATTTGGTACCTCAATTTTCAATAAATAAAAATTTTGGCTCTCGAATTAATAATTTATTCAAGTTTTGCCATTTGAACTTTTCATTTACTAACATCCTTGTTTATACCATAATAGTTAGCATTAGTTGGAGTCTGGATTTGGTTACGACCTGAAGAGGCAGTGATTTTATGCCTTGAGATCTCTATTTATGACGGGACCTGGAACAACCCTCCATTTTTATCAATTCCATTCGGCAAACACCCCTTAAATCACCATCAACATCACTGGTGTAATTATGATTTTGGAAACAGAAGAGGAGAATTCAGGTGGAATGACAATGTGGTTGAGCACACTTATTTGCAGCATTATACAGAGGAAGTCCAAAAGCATATAATAACTTTACTAAATGGATGTTTCTTCCTTAATTATTGATAAGATACACACCATTGGCATGCCATGAAGTTATTTAGTCAACAGGTTTCTCCTTATTGCATGTCAATCCAAAACCGAGAGGAAACAAAGGGTCATAAGAATTCTGTCCGGCATTGATTGGAAGCTGTTTGATGCTTCTGAACCATGTCATTGGCAGTCGACCCTCATTCAAAATCTCCGAATACGACATCTGTTATTCCCCTTCCTTCACTTCCAGGCAACCAAGCAGCAACTAAAGCATCCACTTTTTCCAGAACTGACGGCTCTAAAACTACAGGTCTTCCAGATATCAGGATTGCCAATATGGGGATTCTGTCAGCAACTGAACTGATTATGTCACTTCCATTGAAGGGGATTACAAGCTGTGGGTTGTCACCAAAGGTTTCAGCATAAGGTGTTTCACCTACAACTACAATGGCAAAAGAGAAGTTCTGTCCTGCTAAGGAGTCTGGTGAGGGATATTGAGCATAGATCACCTCTGTTTTGTCCCCTACAGCTTCTCTAATAGCATCCAAGATGGTAGTGCCTAAAAATATAAACCCATCAATACAATGCCTACATAAACTGAGAATACAAATCATATTGCTTGTTGCAGCTAGGTTATTATCAGTTGGAAGATACAAAAGCAAGCATAATAAATTCATGCAATCCTTTTATCAAATATTTTATGTGAGTGAAAACTGAGTATCAAGAGTCTATGCATGCATTTTGTTGACAAATGGAATGGCTGCGGTTATGACAGATGATCGACTAATCTACTATCAGAAAGCAAAGAGAAGAGAAAAAATAGAAAGAAAACAGAAAGCACAAGATGAGAAAATTCTGGGGTGGGAGGTCTGGTATGAACATATGGGCCATATAACTGCTTACCAATTGTAATTCTGCCACTGCCTCCATACCAAGTACCTGTCCATCCTCCACACTGGTAGCCAAGATCATCAGCATGTGTTCCAGCAACAAGAATTCTTTGAGCATTTCTATCTAATGGAAGAAAAGGATTTTCTGGGCACTTTCCATTTTTCAATAGAACCAAGGACTTGCGAACTGCTTCATGTGCTATTTCCCTGTGTTGCTGCAGGAAAAAAAGAGTTGGTACTCAATGTCCTGTCATCCTTTCTCGACTATAAAATCAACAAGGATTTATACAAATAAAGTAGAACTAGGTAACCAAAGGCATTTGGCTTTTTAAAAATAACTAGAGGTAAATAACCTGAAAATATTTACAGTAGACCAGATAAAATATAGAAATGGAATCTTCTTCGGAACATCTATGTAATATATAAATTAGGAAACAGGTTCCAGAATAGCAAATATGCCAAATCTTGGAAAACCTGCTGTGTACTCTACGGTACTAATCCATACACACAAACATAAAATAAATTCTTGGAAAATGTTGAGAAACCACCCTTCAAAAGCTAGAAAATAATCAATTATGTTCCAATAGTTCAGTTTGTTGAGACACTGTAGGACTCTCTGAGTTAGGTGAATACATCAGATGCTGAATTCTTCAAAATTTTCCTTTCAGCCAACAATATCTAGCAGAGATCTATTGGAGAGGGGATATTCAAAAAGACCAGAAACAAACTTCACTCTCAATAATCGTTCAACAGCATCATCTATCCTGGACATCTGTATCTCCCCTGATTCAATCAGAAATGTTAAATCCTCCATGAATTGTTTATATCTGTGAGGAACCATCACCTGAACATTTTCTCAGTCAGTGAATGAAGATATGAATCAAAGAAGATAATTTAATACTAGACTAAAACCATACCATGTCAATTCCAGCATTAACAGCAGTAGAAATGCGGTAACAAGAGTTTGAGCCTCGAGGTTCACAGAGTCGGTCAATTGCTTCCCAATCAGAAATCACAAAACCCTGAACAGAACATTCCCCTGAAATTTAAATATGCTAAATACACTTTCCAACTGAATGCCTTATTATAATAGACACTTCAGGATAAACCTATAGGTCATTTAGGATAGAAAGAATACAATTATGACTCCCTACCTTAAAACCTAGCTCATCTTTCAAAATTTCTGTTAAGAGGAAATGGTCAGCATGAAGTTTACGTCCATTCCAACTGGAATATGATGCCATAATGGTGGAAACCCCCTGAGAAATGCAGTCCAGATATGGTGCCATGTGGATCCTCTCTAAATCATCATATGATAATGTGGTATTCCCCTCATTTATACCCTTTTCTGTTCCCCCATCTCCAACAAAATGCTTGGCACATGCAATAACATTGTTTCTGGAATCAAGCAAAACAAAAAAGTGTATTCCAACAAGTTCCTAATAATGTATACGGCTGTTAATACAGAACAGCAATACAAATATATCTACCTGCCAGCTACAAAAGGATAGCCCTTCGGGTGTCCAACTGGTGGCTGTCCCTGCAAACCTGTAATAATGGAAGTCATTTTTCTAACAATGTCGGTGTCTTCACTATAACTCTCAAAACATCATCCCCATCTGGGATCTCTGCATACCTGTTATAATCCATTAAAACAAATTGTTCAGGAAAACTGCTATTTTGAACTTAACTGAAGTGTCGAGACAAACAGTATAAGGTATAGATACAAAAACAAGAACAGAAGATGTCCTATAGTCACATGGAACTATCATTTTAATGCTTCTGTGATATAGCATATTCCTGTAATAGGGACACATGAAATTTGATGATCAGTGAAGTTGCATTCCTTGTTTAGACTGGTAATTATTGAATCAGGCAAAAACAGTAGAATAGAAGAACGTTTGACCAATTATGTTTATAATGACTTACAGTCACACAGGGAGCAAAGGTATAGTGAATGCCGCTTGCCCTAACTTCAAGAGCAGTTGCAGCCCCAATTCTTTGAGCCAAATCTGCATCTCTATCATATATTTGGAATAATTAGAGATACTGTTACCATATATTAAATAATCTTCCATGAGTCTTTTATTGTCAAAAATTGGAGGAAATAAAGAAGGCTAAGTACAAAAATACCTAGTTCCTTCTAGTTTAACAAATTTTTTTTTAATTTTTTTTTCTGTTTCTTTTTCATTCTAATGGACTTTAAGATTTGGGGAAAATTTATACCAGAATCTTCATTTCTTTTCATTTATCAGCACTGTCATTGATCAAAAACATTAAAATTACCACAACAAAATTTTTTTTTTGGGAGGGGGAGGTGGTCAAAGAAGGAACAAACCTAGTGGCTCCAAGGCCAACATTGTGAGGAAATATAGTGGCACCATAAACACTATTGTTACCATGAACTGCATCAATTCCATATATAAGCGGTATTCCGAGCGGTGACTCAAGTGGTGCCTGCTGGAACCTGTCCACCATATCAGCCCAATCAGATGACAATGCTTTCTCAAACGGCACACTTCCTCCAGCACTCAGTATACTCCCTGCCAAAAAAAGGGCCAATCATTGTTTTCCAATTTTCATAATTGTCAACAAACTACTCGAGAAAATGCCTAAGAGAAAGTGTACCAATGGACAGGTCTTTGAGAACAGAGGGAGTGGCGACACTTCTTTCAATCTGTGTCATTTGACCAATCTTTTCTTGTAGAGTCATTCGAGAAAGAAGGTCTTTGACTCGATCCTCTACGGGTACATTTGGGTTCTTGTAAATGCAATCCATTGATGCAATTTGGTTGAACAGAGATGGGTTCAACCAAAAGGAAGAGATGGGATGAGGAAATCTTTCTTTGGCTTTGGCTTAATGGGAAGGTTTCAAATTAGCTAAAAAGCTTGGAATGGGAAGGATTCAGCTGCCTGGGAATATTTAAAATAGTTGCAAATATTGGTATTTATTGGAGTGTGTGGTTCTCCATTCCCTTCCACTGTTCTTGAAAGGTATAGTTTACCTAACCTGTAAATGTTCGGTGTCCTCAGCAATAAACAATTGCAGTTAGTCCGAGTGAAGAGTAAAAGATACTATAACAAATATGCTAACGAAGCCAATGCAAATAGAAAGCAAGACTATGAAATAAATTTCTTGAAGCCTTTCAATTCTGAAAGTCAAAGAAAAACAAAACTACAGATGACATAATGTCTAAAGAATAAAGACTTATCTATGGCTTTCTCAATTGTCTCTCCCTTACCTATCTTATTATGAAATACAAATACTAGAAACCAAATACATATATATAATATATTGGCAGAACATGAATTGAAAGGTATACAAATGATTCAACCGATTGGCTTTTCCTTTTGCTGAAGCTGGACTGATTGTTTTGGTTTTTCAATGTCAGCTGACTTGTAAAACCTTTTCCAAAACCAGTGCTGCATCCATGCTTTTTCAAGCATTTCATCAATTGGGATACCCTTTGTCTCAGGGAGCATGGCTATGACTGAAACGGTCATTGTGACAAGCCAGGCAGCGAAGAAGAAGAAGATGTAAGCTCGCATATGGCAAAGCATGGTCAGGAATGCTTGAGCTATAATGAAAGTGCAGAGCATATTGGTGGCAACGGAAAAGAAATAACCGGCATTTCGAGTCTCCAGTGGGAAGATTTCACTTGATATTAGCCACCCCAATGGACCCCATGACCATGCAAATCCATTTACAAATACGCAGATCAAAACCACCACAAGTTTGGCTATGGTACCAGATACTTTGTTTGTTGATTTCAAATACTGAAGCAGAATTCCCCCAATTATGCACTGCAAAACAAGGAAATCATAATCTTAATTTGTTTGAAAGCTTTGAATAACTAAAAAAAGCCTATCTTTAACCATAATCTTTGTTTTCTTTCTGAGTTATATAAAGAAGTCTATGCACTAAAATTTCTATCAACTTTTTGTAGTAAATTGAACCCTTGATCAGCCATTGAATCAAAGTGGACCCTTAATTTTTTTCATAATAGTGAATAGATTAAATAATTTAAAACATCACCTGTGCAGCCACCATGATCAGAGCTCCATAAATGAGTAGTTTTTTCCTTCCAGCTTTATCTACACTGAAGATAGCAATAAGTGTAGACAATGAATTGACAGTACCGGTGATCACAGCCGATAAAAGCGACGCATCGGACCCAAATCCCATAGTTTGAAACAACACCGGAGCATAAAACATGACCACATTGATCCCTGTAAACTGCTGGAAAATATGAATAATGGTGCCACAAATCAATGGAGGAATAGTAGGCCGCTTCAATACTTCCCTGTAAGGGTGCTTAATCCTATTGGCAAATTCAGTTGCTCGAATGATTTCTTCAAACTCTTTCTCAACATTATCTACACCCCTGATTTTCTTTAGAGTTTTTAAACCTTCTTCTTTCTTTCCTCTTTCTATCAGACTTGCGGGGGTCTCCACAATTATGAGAGAGCCAGCAAGGAGAATTACGGCTGGTACAGCAGCACCACCCAAAGAAAGCCTCCAACCATATTTTTTTATATTTGCAGTGAAATAATTGACCAGATTTGCAACCAGGATGCCAACAGTGATGAGCAACTGAAAGCAAATATTGAGTCCTCCTCTATATTTTGCTGGTGCAATTTCAGATATGAATAGTGGTACTGCCTGTTTGAACCATGAGATTAATTATAATATATATATATATATGTATGTATGTACGTGCTGAAAGGATTGATATTTGATGAGGTTTGAGGCCTTGATGGCTTTACCTGGTTACCGGCTCCGACACCAGCCCCAAGAAAAAGCCTTCCAATAATCAACATAGGGAGGTTCAAGGCTCCAACGTTGAAAAGGGCTCCAAAGAAAAAGAAGACAGAGGCAACTTGCATTGTTAGTTTTCGACCATAACTCCTGCAAAAGACGGATGCAAGACCGCTGGCAACGATGGCAGCGAGGTAGAGGGAGGACGTGAAGAGTTGAAGATATACGTCATCGAATTTGCAGTAGTTGTTTTCTTTCACGTGGTGCTTTTTAGTGTAAACATTCGGGAAAAACTTTAACAGGAAATCGTCCATTGATGTTACTCCCCCTGTATATATAGTCACAACAAAATCTTAATAAATGGAAATCTGTGTACAATGTTTAAAACCTATCAAAGTCATGTCGATGTTGCATTCATTAAGAAATCAATCATAAGTTTATTTTGTTTTATTTTTTTGGTTTGACATTAAAAGCGATTAAGATCCAATATTCTATATCACGTTGTTGGTTTATTGATTAAATGAAACAGCATTTGATCTGTTACTGTAATTTACGTCCAAGTTCAAACGAAACCATGTACCTGAAATTCCAATATCATAGCCAAACATGAAGCCACCAAATGCAGCTATGGTGGTGCAAACAAGCACTTGCCAAGTGAGCTTAGCGGGGAATTCCTGACCGCCACCAGAATCAGCCATGACCATGCCACCCGGCATTGTGGAAAAGTACTGAAAACTAGACCTTTAACAAAGGGTTTCAAGGAGCAGGAGAATTCTAAGGGAAATTGCAGAGATATTCAACTTCAGCCAACAACCAAAGCAAATAAAATGAAAATCATTCCGGGATATATATATATATATATATATATATAATTAGTTAGTACAGAATCAATCCAATCGGATAATAACGATAAATTGTAAATATATCCAATTTGAAACTATAAACTATCAGATTTTTTGCTGACTTCAAATCTTAACAAACTCTAGTAGATAACAAACTCTACTAAATGATGATTATCAGGAACTTTAGTTTTCACTACTTGGGGCTGAATTCTAGGGGAGCTGGCGGAGACCTATCCTTTGGCTTCTTAGAGTTCTATTAATTTTTAATCTTGCTTGTTTTAAGAAAGGGGAATATATTGTTTTGGCCCCTTAAATTTTATACTTTGCCAATTTCTCACTTGTATGTTCAATTTTGATCTCTTTTATTTTTGGATTTATATGATTAATTTGACTGTGGCCTCCCTTTGGCTTCTTAAAGTTTCATTAATCCTTAATCTTTCACATTTAAAAAAATGGAAAAAAATAATAGTTTGGCTTCTTTGATTTATATTCCTAATTGGACCTTAATCCCATGGCTTCTTAAAGTTTTAATCTAAATTTCACATTTAAAAAGAGGGGAGAATACTTTTGGTCCCTCTAAAATTTATAGTTTGCCCACTTCCCACTTTTATGATAAATTTAATAAGTTAATAATACTTTTACTCATAGTTATCGTAACTACATCAAATATTAAATTATTTAAAATTTAAGTCATTCGATTAATGATTCAATCATCGAGTCAATCGGATTAATTATCAATTTAATAAAAAATATTATAAAAAATATAAATATTTTAAAATTTTTGCTCAAGTTATAATTTAATAATTTAACCACAAACTACAAATTTTAAAATATAAAATTCATAGAACAATTAATTACTAATTAGAAATGAAATTACTTAATATTTTATTAAAATCATATTTTATATCTTAATAGTTAGAAATAATATTTATATTTTAATAAATATAATAAATAATAACTAATAAATAATATAATAATTATTATTTATATTTATTAATGAATAATAATTATTCTTTATATAATAATAAAGAATACTTATTAATTATTTTCGATTATGATCAAATAATTAATCATTTTTATTAATATTTTATTTTTTTATTAATTTTATATATTTTTATTTTTATAATTATTTTTACTTACGGTATCAATTAATACAATTTTTTATTAGATCATTTTTTAAATTATTTATTTTTACATATATCTAATTTTTTTACAATATCATTATTTATATATTTCAAAATATGTCCACATATCATTAATTTATGAGATGCAAAAGTTTTGCATAGTAAAAAATAATAGTTGAGAGATTTATTTATATGAAATAATGATATAAAAGTTTAATTAGATTATTTTTAAAAAGATTTTTTTATATTTTATCTAAATTTATTAGTTGATATTGAATTAATCTGATTTAACAAAAATCACCTGATTTATTAATTTATTACATAATAGTTTAAAAATGTTTAATAGTAAAATTGATCTAATTATAAAATCGAATCAATTTTAACTTTGATTTATCGATTCAATTGATTGAACCGATGATTCAATCCGATTATGATAACTAAAATTTTTAGATTGTTCCGATTAAAGTGTTTTTTTTTTTCAAAGTTTGCTGAGATTTATTATTATCTCATTCTATTTTTTGTTAAAACAATTTTTTTGTATTGATAAAATAATAATTAAAAATGTTCAAATTGCTATATATTTTGCGCATATACTATTAGTTAATATTTTCTTTTATTTTTATTTCCCTTTTATTTATTTATCTAAGTTCATAATTTTTTAAAGTTATGTGATTTTTTTTCTTTTTTTTTTTTATAAAAAATTATTAGTTCATGTATGCAATACTAATTATGATATTTAATAGCTATATTTTTAAACTCTCCTTTAAAGCATAGTTTTTTTATACTAATTATTTTAGCACAATTGTATCATTTTTAATATTATTAAATTACTATTTCATCTTTTAATTAAAAGAAAAAATATAACATAATAAAAAATCAAAATATATGAAAATTAAAAACAAAAAAACAAACAGCCTTGCAAATCAGATCCGGAAAAAAAACAATTTGTTAAAAAAATCAGAACCTACGACCTATCCAGGAAAAAAAAAGGAAAAAAATAAAAAAAAAATCCTCATCAAACAAAAAAATCAGATCCGTAAATCAGATTTGAAAAAAATAAATCTGCAAAAAAAAAATCTACAACCTACTCTAAAATAAAATAAAAAAAAGAAAAACAATAAAAAACAACATCGTCCTCATCAAGAGGAAGTCACACAAAAAGCACACAATAAAACAAAAATCAAAAAGAGGTTTCGATTTGAGATTTTTTAGGGGTTTCAGGACATCTAATTTGGCGATGAGGGAGGTAGGGTTTAGACAAAGAACATCCTAGGAGTTGAAGACATTTTGAACGGTAGAGATGGGTTTTTTGAGGAAGGTCGCAGATTGTGGGTTATGATTTAGAACAATCTATTGGGTTTTTAGAAAAATTAGCTGGAAAAGTGAAAAGATGAGTACAAAAGGAGGATTTGAGTGACTTTTGATGAGAGACCGCTTCCAACGAGTGGCGACCGACGGCGAAAAACATGGCAGCAGCGACGAAAACAGTCGGAATTTGGATCTGTAATAAATTTCGGCTGATTTGTTACAGAGAGGGAGAGAGTTTTTAATATTAGAAATAGAGAGACAGGAATGTGAAATATAAAATTAGAAAATTTTTTTATTATTTATAGACGCGCAAAACGCAACGTTTAAGGAGTGCAAAAAAACTTAACCCCGGCATAATGGTGCAAAACACACCATTAAAAGCTCGAGGAAGGGCAACTTATAAGTAAACAACTTATTAAGTAATAGAAAGAAAACAAACCCAAATGATTTCTTTTTTTTTTTTTTTTGGAAATAACATATAAACTATAGTTTTTTTTTTTTAATAAAAGAAACAAAAATACAACCAGAACATGAATTGAAGATATATGTCAAAGTAAATGTTTAAGCAACCGGGCTTTGGCTGTTCTTTTCAAGCTCAACTTCCTTTGTTTGGGCATATTTCGCTTCCATCTGTTCAAAGTTACCAGTAGCTTTGTGATAAAACCTTTTCCAAAACCAGTGTTGCTTCCATGCTTTTTCAGCCATTTCATCAATTAGGATGCCCTTTGTTTCAGGGAGCATGGTATAAACTGAGACGGTCATTGCGAGGAGCCACGCAGCAAAGAAGAAGAAGAGAGAGGAATGCATACTGCAAAGCATGGTTAGGAATGTTTGAGCAATGATGAAGGTGCAGAGCATGTTGATGGCGACGGCACAGAAATAACCGGCGTTTCGAGTCTCCAGTGGGAATGTTTCACTCGCTACTAGCCATCCAAGGGGACCCCACGACCATGCAAATGCACTTACGAACAGGCAGATGAAGATCACCACAACTATGGAAATTCCATGAGATACTGCGTTTGTTGATTTTAATTTCACATGCAAAATTCCCCCAACAACACACTGCAAAAAAAAAGAAAGAAAAGAAAAGAATCAATTTCATAATCTTTGTTAGCAATATTATTGAAAATCATAATCTCTTACTTTAATGGATCATTAACTGACCTGGCCAAGCAACATGGTTAGAGCTCCAGCAACGAGCAGCCATCTTCTTCCAACTTTATCCACACTGAAAATAGAAACAACGGTGGACAAGCAATTCACTACACCAGTGATGGCAGCTGACAATAACGCAGCTTTTCCCCCAAACCCCATGGTTTGAAAGAGCACCGGAGCATAAAACATGATCACATTCATTCCTGTAAACTGTTGGAAGATATGAATAGCCACGGAAGAAAAGAGTGGAGGCCAGTTATTCCTATTCATGAGCAATTCCAAGTAAGGGTGTTTAACTCTATTGGCAACTTCAGTGGCTTGAACGATTTCTTCAAACTCTCTTTCCACATCATCTACACCCCTGATTTTCTTTAGAGTATTTAGACCTTCTTCTTTCTTCCCTCTTTCTATAAGACTGGATGGGGAATCCACAATTATGAAAGAGCAAACAAGGAGAAGTAAAGCCGGCACAGCAGCACCACCCAAAGAATACCTCCAATCAGAGTTCCAATAATTAATGAGATTTGCAACCAGGATGCCAACCGTGATCAACAACTGGAACAAAATATTCAGTCCTCCTCTGTACTCTGCTGGTGCAATTTCTGATATGAACAATGGTATTGTCTGTTTTGTTTCATATATAGTTAGCAAATAATACAATTTTATTACTAAATTTATTCTATCAATTTCTATATATATAGGAAATTTGATGATTGTTACTGACCTGGTTACCGAATCCAAGACCCCACCCGAGAAAGATCCTTCCAACAATCAACACGCCGAGGTTCTTGGCAGAAAAATTTACAATGGCACCAATAAGAAAAAAGACAGAGGATAATGTGATAGTGAGTTTTCGACCACACTTCCTAGAAAAGAAGGATGCTACAAAACTAGCGGCAATGGCTGCCAAGTAGAGAGAGGACGTGAAGAGCTGAAGGTAAGCGTCGTTAAATTTGCAGTAGTTGTTCTCTTTTGCTTGATGCTTCTTGGAGTAAACTCTCGGGAAGAACTTCATGAGGAAATCGTCCATTGATGTTACTCCCCCTATAAACATAATGCCATGCATTAATAATATTCCATGTGAACCAAAACAAAGGGTTTTTTAGATCAGTAATCTTTAATCATGGTGAATCAAAATATGATAAAAACTAATTACGTTGGAGATTGTAGCAAGCATACCTGAAATTCCTATGTCATAGCCAAACAATAAGCCACCCAAGGATGCTATGACGGAGCAAAGAAAGACTTTCCACGTGACCCTGGAGAAGAAGCCACCAAAGGATGCTATGGAAGTGCAAAGAGCGACTTTCCCCGTAATCTTAGAGGATAAGTGGCCTCCGCCTCCGTGGAAGGAATCAGCAAATGCAGCATCCGGCATGTTTTAAGAATTAAAACTGTCACAGGCTCTCAAAGGAACAGAAGAATCAGCTTATGAAAGAACATGCAAAATAGGGGTGATAGAGCTCTATATTTATAGTTGTTGGTTTTACTCGTGTCCTGATCCTATTGTAACCTTGCAAGCTGACTAGACTTTAATTCTATCTGAATAGGATTTAAGTTCGAGTACGTTTCAAAGATTAATTGACTCTAAATCCTTTTCAAACTCTAATAATTTAATTGGTTCTTATTACTTATTGCAATACTTTATTTCTAATTTGACAATAAAAATATTTTTATTATATAGTATTAATTAATTCTTGTTATTATAAAAATAAAAAATTATTACATCCACTGATTTTTACTGTAGAATTAGTAAGATGACACGTATATTTTATAACATAATTAAAAAATTAAAAAATATAGATGTAATCGTCTTTTAATCCTACTTGTAAGATTAAAAAGTTTTACATCAATGTATCAAAAGCAACAAAAAAATTAAAAGGATGAGTTTGATTACAAGTTCACTTCCTTTTTAACGAGGATATCTCTTTGATTATTTCTACTATATATGTACTATTAATTTTAGTTTTTTTGTTGTCTACTATATGTACATACTATTATTATTATTATTATTATTTATTTATTTTGAAAAAGGATGAGTTAATTTGACTAGAAGTTCAATTCCTTTTTAACAAGTTCTGAAGACTTCTAATTAAACCTGATATTTGGGTAGAAATTGTAATTAATTGTTTTAAATGCAAAACTAAAGGTAATTAGTGCAAGTACAACTTTAGTTCTAATAAAATTCAATACATTAATGCTGGTATGATTGCACAACCCTAATTAAAAGGTCAAATTATAGTTTTAAAATTATATTTGAAGATTAATAAAATATATATGCCAGAAAACTATGTTTTAATCTATTTACCAACACAATTACTTCGTTGTTGTAGCTGTAATTTTTGTTAATTTCAATTAATTTAAGATTAACAATTGTTTATATGTAAGGTATAGGTAGTATGCTTTTGTATTTCCTTTGGTTCAAAAAATTGGAAGACTGCCAAAGATTTTTGAGGACCAACATTTAAGATGTAATTAGGCAATGTTTTGGTAAGACACCAATATTACAGGTTCACGAGTTGCAATGACTTTGTGAAATAGTACACATACTGTTCAAAATTCAAATATCAACTTTTCAATGTACAAAATACATCATACTGTTTTAATATATTAACTTTTAATCAGAGCACAGGTACATCAAACTTAAAAGCAGAAATGGAGAATCTACAGGCACAGTGGGCTAAGTAACTTTTCAAGCTCTCCAGTCAAGCTACATATGGTGGCATTGTCACGGTGGAGAGAGCTCAGGTGTTGCTTGGGTAAAATGAAGAAGAAATTTACAATATCTTCTTCTGAACTGTAGCATCCAGTGCATGATGCAATGAAACTAGAACATTAACTTCAAAATAAATGGGTTAATTAGTATTTTAATTTGACTATCTGCAGTTCTACTTTATGTAACCTAGTATTATCGAAATTGATATGTTCAAGATTTACTGCAGCTGATTGCTAGATTGATTCAAGGATGGAAGAGTTTCAGCTTTTGAAAGTAGCTCACCATAGCTGATGATGCTGCCTCCAAACTGATGGTTCATAGATTAGCCAATATTATGAATACTGCCTTATTTTGCCGCTGCATTGCTATCATTTTCCTCAGTGTTGACAGCCTTGACTTCAGATTCTGTTGGTTTTGATGCTTCCTCTGCAATCTTATGGTCGATTAATGTACTCGTCGTGCTATTACCTACAGCTGAGATGCTTTCAATGGCCTTGAGATTATCCTCACCTGAATGTGGTGCATCTGATACACCTTCTGGACCACTCAAATTTTGTATCTCTTCACCATTTTTAATGTTATTCAAGCTGCTGTTACTTTCTCCTGCTGAAGTTGATAGGTCAGCATTGAATTCAGCTTCGGTTAATCTTTTGGATTCATGTTCAGTATCTTCAACAGATCCGGCACTAGTTGCCCCGGTGGTCTTTGATGGTTCTATGACATCCTCTTGTCTACTCGATATGTGGGGCTCACCTTCACCGTCAAGAACATGGTTCAAGATCTCTTTGTTGGTTAAATTATCAGCTAATGAGTCATTCACGTCGCCAATGCCATTAACTTCTGCTGCAGACTTCTGAGAAAGGTTCCAGCTTAATGTAAGTAAAGACTATTATAAATGCGGTACGCGTGAAATTTCAAAATAGCTAGGAAAGCAGTAGAAGGAAGCATAGCTGTGTGAAATTAACTGTAGGCAAAACATAATCAGAAGTATAACGGAAACTGTTCTTCGTGAAGGAGCAGATAGGAGTCTTCCAGACAACAACAAATTCAATAGTTCACAGCTATTTGTTATGTCAGTGGTGCTTTTGAATTTGTAGTTCTTTTAAAAGTATGGATGTTTTACTTTATAATATTATATTACCTCTTCTTCTCTTGCAGTTGCAGGAATGCTTGTATTACCGCCTTCATTTGCTTCTGTTTTGAGCACATCAGCTTCATGTTCATTTGATTTTTCAGGTCCATTGATGTCCTTCGGTCGGATTGAGAATTGGGATTCACCTTCATCGGTTGTCAAGTTCTTCCCTTCTTCCTTCTCATTGACTTCTGAATTATTAATATTTATGACAATTTTGCCTTCCTCAATGACCTTCCTTGGAGAATTTGTTGGTTCCTGTACAATTTATTACAAAAAGATGCACCAAGGACATTTCATGAATAAGAAGCATAAATGAGAAACAATAACCTAGTGCTAAAAATGACTAATTCAAAAGCTGAAAGGATACTGTATTGTTGTTGTAATTCAGTGACAACTGAATGAAGCAAGTATAGAGATCTTTTGCCAAAATTAAGTGGTGGGATTACCTCTTCTCTCGCCATTGTTTCAGGATCATTTGATTTAGCATTTTCCTCTTCTGATTTTGATGGATCAATTCCAGTGTCATATTCGATCAGATTTTCTGATCCTCCTTCAAGATGCTCAATAGAACCAGGACTACTTTCACTGGATGGTTTTGATAATTCTTTAGCATCCTTTAAACTCATCAACGTTTCTGATTCAACTTCACTGGATTTTATAGAAGAATCTTCCTTGCCATGTGTGTCTTCTAACACAAGTTCATTCATATTATGGGCAGTGCTATCATTAGTACTCTTCTCTATCATGTTAGATGATCCCTGTTCAAGATTAGGTAAATATGTGAGTCAAAACATGCTCAAAGGTGTGCTTTAAGTTTCCACGCACAATCACACACGGGGTGAGGGGCAAGAATGGGGGTGGTTGCCACAAAAGAAATGGCAAAAGTACTTCAAAATGAAGGAACTTGTACTCCATTTTATGAACTTGTTTCCACACTTGAATTCATAAGCCTCAAACATCTATATGATTTCAAGATCTGTTAAATGTAATAAAAGTTGAAGATGAGTTACTGATGCTGTCATACTGACCTCCAATGTTCCAATACTGCAATTAATGGATGAGTGATCAGCAGAATTCTCAACCAATTGCTGTGCAATTAGGGGCATGTTAAAATCTAAGTTTTCATGTGGTTGGTCCTCTGCTAAATTGTCACTTGCTATGTCTTCCACAACAGAATGTGGCATATCTGTTTGTGTTCGTTGCTCAACATCTGATATAGGTATTTGATCTTCCAGGATGTTTTGTGGTAACACAGACCTTGGAGATGAATATGAGTCGATAGAAATTTGTTCAATCACCAATCTTCGATTTAGAGTCATTGCAATAGGACCACCAAATCTTTGTTTCACTCCAGAAACATTATCCTCGGCAACATTTTGATCAACCATATTATATGGAAAAGACTTCAAGTCGTCTCTACTTTGAACTGCATTCGGTGCATCCTCAGTGTTATGCTCAGTTAAGTTTTGAGTATCTTCTTCAATATTCTTTGAAGGTTGTTCTCTGCTTTGAACTGCATTTGGTGCATCCCCAGTGTCATGCTCCGTTAGGTTATGAGTGTCTTCTTCAATATACTTTGAAGGTTGACTTTCCTGCGTCTCCTCTTCAGATTCCATAATTCTTTTTGACTCATAAGATGTTTCTAAATTGCCATGCCTGTGCTCGCTGGAATCTAAGTTGATTGCCTCAGCTGGTTTTCTCATCTCCCCTAAAGCTGGAGGTTCAATCAATATTTGGACTCCATTCTCTCCATTTTCAGATGATTTCGAGTCTAAAGTGTCAGCATCTCCTTGAGTTGTCAGCTTCACATTACCAATTATGTTCAACTCTTCTGTAGGCTTCTGTTGAGGTTCAATTAATATATGTTGGATAGCCAAAAGTTGCAATAGGTTAGTTTAATATCATTTTCCTGGTATTCTAGAAATCAGCCAATAAAGTTAGAAAAATATGTCATAACATCTATAAATGAGATAATAGATTTTCAATTTTCTATAAATTTGCAAATAAAGAAAGTAAGCCTAGGTATGTAAACAAGGAGGGAAAACTTGATCTCATTTCATTTGAACCACTCAAAGTTCAAATTGTTATTTTTGCTTTCATTTTACCAAAAATGAAATAACTAACTGACCTCTGGCTTCTCGAAACAAGATTCGGAAGGTGAATGAACCACTGACTTCTCCATCAAATGCATGGTTTTCCCAGGAGATTCAGGTGATAAAGTGTCAGAAACATTGAAAGTCTTGCATCCCTCAACTTCTTCATCCATTTTTTTGACTTCTTCGTGAGTTTCAAGGTTTGTATATGTTGGATGCGAAGCACCGTTCTCAGGTATATCTATTCTTGAAGATAGCGAACTTGTGCTATTCAAATTTTGCTTGGCTTCCTGTTCAGATGGAGAGATTGGAGCAATTGGCTCCTCAGGTTTCCTGTTTAAACTTGAAAAGTTTACAGAATCCTCTTCAATAATATCATCTAATTCTCTTAGTTTTTCTTGATTTGCCTCTGATCTTGATAGGTTAAATGAACCTCCCCACAGTTCTTCACTGTCAGAAGCGATATCCCTATCAACATCTGCATCATATGTAACTGAATCACCATCAACAGATGAAACTGTTCCATCGGTTGTTAGTGGAGGTGAACCAACTTCTGAGACCTCAACTTGCAAGTCAGAAGCTATGGAGCAGGTTGGAGTATGACACTGTCGCCTATATGTACTGTAAAATAAATTAAACTCTGTTGTCCTACGCCTTTCAGATGGAGATGGACTGGAATCGTAGGGAAGTCTATTCACAGTTCTCCCCTTAGGAGGAATTGAAAGATTAAAGGCCTTTTGCACTTGATCAGTACGTATCTCTGGAGATTTACTTGTTTGATCTAAGACCGATTCACTAGCTTCGGATGAAGATGAGTCACACGAATCATTGTTTTTTATTGAATCTGTCTCCATTTTGACTTCACTTCCAATTAATCCTGGCTCCAGGTCATGAGTGTTTTCCTTCTTCTTTCCTTCTGTTTCAATCCTATCATTCGCACTTTCTGTAATCTTTTCGTTTTTCCCTTCCGATGAGTTCATTGCCTTATTGTGATTGGAGTCTTGTGGTTCAACAAGATCAATATCACTTCCTAAACCAGAGGAATTATGCTGGTGGTGACCTCCTTTATCTGATGAAAAGGGGAAATGTTAAATTATTCCATTAGAAAATAGCACACTTCAAAAGGAAAAAGACAGAATCTGGAATAGTTCCATTGATTCAGTAACTGCCATACTGATAGATGATGGTTTTAAAGGCTATGGAGTTCAACTGCACCTTTAAAATTATTGTCCTGAATATATTCATTCCCTTATCTCTAGTTTAAAATCATTTTCTTAAGTACTTGTTTTTAACGAAGTTTCAGGAAATTCTTTCCTTATAATTGGTATCCACAGAATTTCATAGTTGCTCTATTGTATCTTGGAAGGTGAATGAAGGGAGAAAAATGGCTTAAATAATTTGATTATGTGCCTCAAAGCTTAGAAACATTCTGTCATATTTCTCCTGTCAACTTGAATGAACATTTTGGTTCAGGTTTTAATATGAAACACCTTCAGCTTTCTTCAATTATGGATAAGAAAAGCAAGGAACTATGAATAACAAGGATCTACAGCTTATCCAAAAAACAAAATACAAGGATCTTGACAATGGAAAATATACTGAAGTTTTTATCTTGTGCTTACCTGGCAGCCTTTTGAATCTAGCAACTGCTGGACCCTCTGCAAGCCTTCTCTCGGTACCATAATAGGGGTTAAAGTGAGCATCATTTGGTTCTTGAGTGGTTTCCAACGAAAACAAAGGTCCACGACAGAAGCTTTCATGCCTGCAGAAGAGCATTTCCTTTTGGTTGGCTGCCATGAATTCTTGGTGAAAACTATCTCCCATAAGATTTGGTTTTTCTTCAAGTGGATCATAAGGTAGGTCAAATGGATTCTGTGTAGGCAACAAGATGGAAGGGGCAGAACCAGGCATTTGCAATTCTTCTTCATTGGGATTACTGGAAACACCAAGAATGTTGTTTTTAACAATTAGAATGGGAGCAATTTGAGTAGGGGGAACACTATCCATGTCCATCAGGCTTTTCTCAACTGCTATTTTGAACATCCTTTTGGCTCTACGTTTGGCTATTAAACTTTCCAGCCTTTTGTTTCTTTCCAACTCAGAAAACCCAAGATCCATAAGATTCTTCTGATCATTCTCCGTCCATTCAACAGCCTTATTATTCCCATCTTCCTGCACCTCTTCTTCCTCCTCATCCTCCCCTTCTTCCAAGCTTTCTATGTCTACCTCGCCACCACCGCCACCGCCACCACCACCATCAGGATCTTTTCCTGACTGCCCTTGAAAGCTATCACCCGAGACACTATGAGGTTTTGATGTCTCCTTATCCAAGAGCAGATTCAGGTCATCAAATGCTCGATCATTTCCTCCAGTCTCATTCTGGGAAGAACTCTCTCCATGTTCCATATTAGAACTTCCCTTCACATCGAAGATCAACTTCGAATTTTCTTCCAGAAAATTAATTTTACTAGACAGACTATTATAAGGATTTGTCGGAAAAAGCGTGTCCCTTTCCGGGCTATCTTTTCTATCCCATTCTACGACCTCCTTCCTAGCATTTCTTCTTACACTTTTCTGGGGTCGTAACAAAGTCTCGTTCGGTCTATTTACATCAGCAGATGATCTCTCATCACTGTCTTTTTTCTTAATCCATTGGACATCAGGTTTTTTGGTTTTCAAATAAAATCGGATGGAAACAGCAGTGCAAACAAGAATAGGAGAAGAGTACATCAAAAGGTAGAAAACAGAAGGAAAACAAATGTAAAGGAAGAAAACAAAGATCAAAAGACCTGACACAACTGGATATTTTCTTACAAATCTATAGCAACAACTTCCAGAAAATCTAATAATTCTCCAGAGAAGAAGTCCAATGCCCTTTGCATCAACACCCATTTTTATTTTCCTAACAAACAAACTGGGTATAAAAAATCCTCTATACCCACACAAATGTCAAGAAAATGACTGAAGAATTCAGCTCAAACCTGCATTTCCAACTAATGAAAATCAATTTCCTTTTTATTCATTAAAAACAAAAACATGTAAAAGAGAGGTCAGGGAGTGATTTTGGATGTGGGGTTTTCATTTTTTTTAGTAATTGGCAGATCCTCCAATTTAGGACTTCCTCTGCCATTTCTTTTCTCTTCTTCCCTTGATTCATGGTACAATATTGGACAAAATAGAAAACAGGTATGGGAGGAAGTGACGGTTAATATTGCAGTCTATTTTAGTCATATGACCTTGGATTTCTACATAATTACTCGAGTCACCTTTATTTTCTTGTATTTGCAACATTACCCAAGTACTTTTTTGGTTTTCGGGGGCCAAATATAGTCACAGATACAATTTTCATTTTTTCAAAATGATCCACTGTATTTACATTTATCTAGTTGAAAGTGGTTTTCATGCAAGTAAATTTTTTTAAATTTATAATTTTTAAACATTAGCGGCAATAATATATTGATTAATTTAAAAATTAATTTACAAAATTATCGTCTTAATATAAGATAATTTTATAATTAATTATACAGAGATTGTGACTTGACTTGAATGTATATATTTGTTGTTTATATGACAAGATAAAAAAAAAATTTTAATAAAAAAATTAAGATATTAACTTTACTACTCTACAATGTATTATTTCTATCTAATTCTCACTTTCAAAAATATCCATAAAGATCCATTGGGTAAAGATAAAATTTATAAAAACAATGGATTAAAATAAGGATAATGTCTCAAAACAACCTCATGATACAAATAGAGAAGCCAGGCCATTTGATAAGAATAGAAAAACTAAGTCCAACCTTTTTTTTTTAAAGTCAAGCATCGGATAATGTGTTGATTTATCTCTTATCTCTTACATTATCTTAAGCTAGAAAGTTATCCTATTCTTTATATAAATTTATAGCTATTATGTTAAATAAATAGTGAAATGCACAAAGTTGAATCTTGTACCCTCTTAATTTAATTATTTTTTATGTATTTTATTAATCAAGATTAAATCAACAAATTTAAAGTAAATTTATTATTTAGATGATTTATTAATTTATAATATATCAATAACAAGTAATACAACACCTAACCTATACCCTAATTCTATTACTTGAGCCTTACCACCTTATATCAACTCAAATAGCTAGATTTTTTTTAATAATTTCTTTTATATATCATTAAAAAAACTTTTCTTTTATAAAAAAGGACTCAAATCATTTGAAAGCTCCCTAGAAAAGACACAACCTTATTTATTGTGAAGTTACAAATGCATGGAAAAGAAAAAAAAATCTATAAAAAAAGGTCCTATAGATTAAGTATCCCTCTATTAATGTGATGAAAATCACTCCCACCGCACCATAGCATCATTTTGTAATTAAAATTTTAAAAATGATTAATATAATCATTAAATGTTATTGTGATGCGAAAAAATCTGTCACAATGCTACCGAAAAAACCTTTAAATCCGAGATGATAAACAATTTTTTATGGGGCCAACACTCTAGGACATAGCCCTATCCTTATTTGTTTTGATTGGACCAGAATCCAACAATCCTAATAACAGACCAAAGTCGAAGGCCAAAGTAAAAACCGAAAACAAAAAATCCAAAGCTACGGCCCTAGCGTAACCAAGCGTGTGGTTACCAATTAGCTCCAAACATGTGGTCACCGCTCAATCTTTTTCACCTTCCAACCCATTCATTCCACGTGTTACATATGACAAAAACCCTATGTAATCCTCGAAAGATCCAATCTTTTCCCCTTTTGCTCCTGTCCTGATATATAATCCCAAAACGGAAACTCGACGGCTAAAAGCCCATCGTTTCTTCTAATCCAAAGGCCCAAATTATCCCATAATTATCTCTTTCGCCAAAAGCTCTCTCCCTCTCTCTCTCTCTCTCTCTCTCAAAGTCTGCACACAAAAAACGGGGCTAAAAAAAAAAAATCAAAACTTTCACATATAAATAATTCCCGTTTTCAATTTAGATTTAGCTTTTTAAAAAAATTTTCTAGGGTTTCGCAAATGTTATCGATTGAATTTCTACGAGCGACGACAACAATCCACAGTAAATTCAGTACAAATTCTTACTTTAATCTTCTTTATCTGCATGGATTAAACTTCTCCCCCAATCGGTTTAGGGTTTTGCAACAAAGCACGAATCGTTTCATCCCCAATTCAATCACTGTACCTCTACGTAACGTCGCCGTTTTGGGAAACCACGAAAGGTTCAATCTTTACGGAGGAGGTAAATTAAGGTTCAAGGAGAGCAAAATTTTGGCTAATTGTACAGATAACAGCGATTCGAAGGCGAGTTCCAGCGATAAAAATGAAGGCGAAGGTGGGCAAGGAGTGAAGCAGAAACAGAATTCGACAAATTCGGGCGGTTCGACCGATCAGAGACGAGAAAAGAGCGGAAAAAGCGGGCTTTGGTGGTCCAAAGGAAAGAAATGGCAGTGGCAACCGATAATTCCAGCTCAAGAAATCGGTGTTTTGCTTCTACAGTTAGGTATTGTTATGTTCGTTATGCGGTTGCTTCGACCAGGGATTCCGTTACCCGGGTCCGAGCCCAGGACTCCAACGACTTTCGTCAGCGTTCCTTACAGTGACTTTTTGAGTAAGATTAATGGTAACCAAGTTCAAAAGGTGGAGGTTGATGGGGTTCATATAATGTTTAAATTGAAGAACGAAGGTAGCGTTCAAGAGAGTGAAATTGGTGGTGTTAGTAATAGTAAGTTTCAAGAATCGGAGTCATTGTTGAGGAGCGTGGCGCCTACGAAGAGAATTGTGTATACAACCACTCGGCCGAGTGATATCAAGACTCCATATGAGAAGATGCTGGAAAATGATGTGGAGTTTGGGTCTCCTGATAAGAGGTCCGGTGGCTTCTTGAACTCTGCATTGGTAAGTTGGGTTTTTTTTTTTTTGTCATGAATTTAAGTGAAACTAATTTTAATTTGCTTGTTTTTGAATGCTTAGTAATAACCATATAAATGTCTTGGTTATGTTGGAGACTTAGTTTATTTTGGTAAGCTGCCTGCTCAATAGAATATAATTTAGATTTAGATGAGGGTATCTTCTCTTTCCTTCTTTGGCTCTCAAATGGTGATCTGATGTGCCCTCTACTATTGAGAATCTTATTCCCTCTTGAGGTGGCTGGAATGTAAAGGCTGTAGTTTGTGGAACTAAGATTGGTTATAATTTGGGACAAAAATATTTTCAGTTACTTAAAAATTGACGAATTAGAAGAAAATTAAATAGAGGCTGTTCATGGTGGCACCAAATAAGATATTAAAAACATCTGGATGTCTTATTGCTGGACATCCAATACCTAGAAATATAATGCCCTGTCTTTAATTCCTCAAACCATATGTAGCGTAGGTGTTGGTTTGCTCGGGTTAGGCTACTTAATGGTGACCGGTGAAGGATGATATTTATGATAAATGTTGGTGTTTAAAAAGGGCTAAGCATGCCATAGCCTTGGTTAAAATGGTTGTCAGAGGGAAGATGAGAGCCAGTCCTCGAAGAATTTCTAAACTTTGCCATAAAGACACCAATCTTCACATTGTTTTTTCTAAATCATGGCTCTTATACATATGAGATGTGAAGTTTTATATATTTGACTTACTCTTTATTGCAGATAGCTTTGTTCTATGTTGCTGTCCTTGCGGGACTTCTCCATCGATTCCCAGTGAGCTTTTCTCAGGTGTGAACTTGCTTGAAAGTCTTTGAGTACTTTAATGTGTATGTTGTGTTGATAGGTTCTGATTCAGTCATGCATGCATGCAGCATACAGCTGGTCAGATTAGGAATCGGAAGTCTGGGGGTGCTGGAGGTTCAAAAGTGTCTGAACAGGGTGAAACAATTACTTTTGCTGATGTTGCTGGTGTTGATGAGGCCAAGGAGGAGCTAGAAGAAATTGTGGTATCTAAAAACTTCTCTAATTCATATGCTACCAGCAATTGATAGTTTGCAGTAAATGCTCCTATGAGTTCAAGCTATAGTCTTTACATGCATATGTTTACTGCCCAGGAATTTCTTAGAAATCCAGACAGGTATATACGACTTGGTGCTCGTCCTCCCCGAGGAGTTCTCCTGGTGAGTTGATATCAGAGACAATTAAGCATATTAAGCATTCTGGCCTTTCAAAAGAAAGTAGTTGAAACTTTACTTCTTGATGTTAAAGAAGCTTTTAGTTAAGGAAGTAATGGGCTACTTGCAAAACTTTATTAATTTTGGAAAATTGTTTTGTTAGGATAATTAGTTTTGCTAATTCTGTCCCTTACTCGTAGAATATCATCTCCACCGAAAACTTTTGGTCTTCTAAAGTTTTCTGCTTGTCATTCTTGTTATTAAAAGTTCAATAAGTTTCTGAATGTAACCATTCAGTGCTTAGATGCTAGTAGGATATGATGGTTTCTTTGCATTATTACCCTCTTTTGTATAATTGGAAGTATGGTTGGTATTTATGGTTTTACTTGTGTTACAGGTGGGTCTTCCTGGGACAGGTAAGACTCTTTTAGCGAAAGCTGTGGCTGGCGAAGCAGAAGTTCCATTCATAAGTTGTTCTGCCAGTGAGTTTGTAGAGTTATATGTTGGCATGGGTGCCTCTCGAGTTAGAGATCTCTTTGCACGAGCAAAGAAGGAGGCACCATCAATAATTTTTATTGATGAGGTCAATCTGTTGGTTTTACATTTTTATTCGAACAATCTGTTCAACTTTTTGATTTCCAGTGGAATTTTCTGACATCTTTCCTCATGCACAGATAGATGCTGTGGCAAAAAGTCGTGATGGTAAGTTTCGCATTGTTAGCAATGATGAACGAGAGCAAACTTTGAACCAATTGCTCACTGTAAGTTCCCTACATCATGGTTCTGCTGCTTGGACCTCTTGCACATACCCTGTGAAGCTAATAATTTGGAACTACATTGCAGGAGATGGATGGATTTGACAGCAATTCTGCAGTGATTGTTCTTGGAGCTACAAATCGTTCTGATGTCTTGGATCCTGCCCTTCGTCGACCTGGGAGATTTGATCGTGTTGTTATGGTTTGTATGATGAGTTGTATTTAATTAGTTCCTGAATGTTGAAATGTGCTATATAAACTAGTTCCCTGTTGCATAATAGTTGTCTCAAGGTTATCATGTCTCATATAATTTACAGGTAGAGACTCCTGACAGGATTGGAAGAGAAGCTATTTTGAACGTACATGTTTCTAAGAAGGAACTTCCCCTTGGGGAGGATGTTGATCTTGGTGACATTGCCACTATGACTACTGGTTTTACTGGGTATTTTCTATTTTACTTCATCACATTTAAATGCCACTGCTTCCCCATCCTCCTTTAGCCCTCCTTTCTACTTCTTCAACTCGAATTTATTCTTGATGAAGTGGGAATAACTATATAATCTTTTATATTTTGCAGGGCTGACCTCGCAAATCTGGTAAATGAAGCTGCCTTGCTCGCTGGAAGAAATAACAAAGTTGTTGTAGAGAGAATTGATTTCATTCATGCAGTAGAGCGATCAATAGCTGTAACTCTCTCTTCCTCTCTCTCTCTCTCTCTCTCAGCACAATTTTATGTGCATTTCCTACAGTTTCCTGTAGTTGTTGTTTATTCACATTCACTGTGTTTGATCATTTCCTTCCCCCATGTTTCTAAAGAATTTGTATCTCATTTGTCCTTGCTTTGAAAGTTTAGTTTTAATTATTACTTGCTTTATCCAATGATGTTATGCAATCTTCTCATTCTAGTTCCAGGCTTTAGTCGTTGGTTTTACTATATGTGTGTTATAGATTACCTTATAATCACAAAGTAAAATTGATAATTGGAGGCAAAAGATATTAGCATGCAATGCATTTATATTACATTTTGATCTTTCTGATGAGACTATCATTAGGGATTTAGGATTTTGACCAATCTACTATGATTTGGGCAATTCCGTCTTAGACATACATGTAACAAGATGTGTAATTATACTAAAGAAGTATGAGTAGACATTGAATTGCAAGTTGAGTGACTAAAAGGATTTACATTTCATAGGGCATAGAGAAGAAAACTGCCAAGTTGAAAGGAAGTGAGAAGGCTGTAGTAGCAAGGCATGAAGCTGGCCATGCAGTAGTAGGTACGGCTGTTGCAAACCTTCTTCCTGGACAGCCACATGTTGAGGTAAATTACAGCAATATTTTACGGAATGTTCTCAGTTTCATTTCTTTATTTGTTTATTTATATGTTCTTGTTACGTCAGTGTGAAATTTGAATGGAATTCTAAACCACAGCTGTATAGAATTTGTGTAGGGGACTGCATGCACTGTTCATGTTGTGTACCAGAAAGATGGTAACAGTTTTAGTCATTTTTATTTAGTCTTTATTTCGGAGATGATTGGCCTGTTTAGTTATTGCCCTTCCTAATTGTTAGTTTCTCTTTTGATACTTGGGAAGGTAAGGTAAGACATAGAGGAAAAGGCCTGACCAATTAGTGCTCCAGGATGAATCAACTTTGACCTCCAGTTATGGATGTCAAAAATGGAATTTCTAGCATGTGGTGCCTGAGTTTAATTTCAATTGAGAAACTTGGAATATTTTAAAAGACCTGATTTTTTGTCCAACCTTTTTTTTTTCTTTTTGGTGTGGGAAATTGTGAAGTTAGTACGCGATACCAACTTAAACTGTAGTATACCACTTTCAAGCTTTCAAGCAATAATTCTAAATATTAAAAAAAGAAATTGGAGTATAAGGTTTGTTTACATGTATGATTTTTCTTTTTTCTATCTTTTTTGGTATATGTGAAGGTCCACTTTGCCTTGTCCTACACAGGGAATTCTGAATTATAAGTTTCAACTTATTAAGTTGGGTTTTTCCATGGAGGAGCAATTGTCATAGAATGGACTTAAATCATCCAACTGCTTCTGTTCGTATGAAACGGATAAGATGGTAATTAATCAACTCGTTTGTGTGGGCAGAAATTGAGCATATTGCCAAGATCAGGAGGAGCACTGGGCTTTACTTATACTCCTCCTACCAATGAGGATAGATATTTACTCTTCATTGATGAGTTACGTGGCCGTTTGGTTACTCTTCTTGGTGGACGTGCTGCAGAGGAAGTTGTTTATTCAGGTCGAGTTTCTACCGGTGCCCTTGATGATATTCGGCGGGCAACAGACATGGCATACAAGGCAGTTGCTGAATATGGTCTTAATCAGACTATAGGCCCTCTGTCTTTAGCTACGCTTTCTGGTGGAGGCATGGATGAATCTGGAGGTGCAGTTCCTTGGGGACGGGATCAGGTTCTTTTATACTCTTTAATTGATTTAGTTTGTCCTTTTGTGTTTTCAATCTCTACACTATCTGTAATGAAGACTGATCCAGAGTGAAACATGCAGGGACATCTTGTTGATCTTGTTCAAAGAGAGGTGAAAGCATTATTGCAGTCTGCCCTTGAAGTAGCCCTCTCTGTTGTTCGTGCTAATCCGACTGTTTTGGAAGGGCTTGGTGCCCACCTGGAAGGTAATCTGCAGCATGTCGCTTCCTGCTTCCACTAAAATTCCTGTATATCTTATTCCTTGTTCATTTCTATCTGGTATATGTTCTTGTTTCATAATGGACATTGGCATAATTTTCTGACAATAAAATCTAATGGAAACTTATAGGGGATAGATTGGGGATTGCCAAAAAATGGTATTTTGTAAAGGCATCCTACCATGAAGCTGTATTAGTGCTTTACTGATACCATTTTATGGTTTTCTGTTTTGGGAACTATACAGAAAACTTTTAACTGTTATTTTTCTTCCAACTTATGTTGCAATCTTGTGAGGGTTGTGTAATGAGTTTAAAATCAAACCTGTGTCACTGTATGATGAATATGTATTGCCATTTCCACAATGTTCCCTGACAGACTATTTGGTTGTGCTTGTTAAATCTTTAATGCTATTATCCATTGTTTCGGTTAAAATACTGGTTATACACCGTTTTAGTATCTTGGGACTTTTGTATCCTAGTGCAGATAAGATGCACACTTTTAAACAGTTTAAACCTAGTTGTGAAGTAGATGTTCTGTCTCTTTAAAAAGAGGAAGGGAAAATAAATTATTTGCGACACTGCATATTGTGATCTGGCACTTGCTTTTATTCAGAAAATGAGAAAGTAGAAGGCGAAGAGCTACAAGAATGGTTGAAATTGGTTGTTGCACCAAAGGAACTAACAATCTTCATTGGAGGAAAGCAAGAGTCTCTTCTGCCAGTGCAAGTGAGCTCTGTATAAGCGGTTTTGCTCATTGCTTGTCAACATTGAGCATAACATGGAGTTAATTAAAGCTTTCTTCATGCCTTGACGGCTTGACCTTATCAGTGAGCATGTCTTGGTTACTGGCATCAGCTCCCTTGCACATTTTTGTATATTTCAGCAAGGTGAATTTTGGCTTTATTTTTAATACTACCAAGTCTTTTCATTGTTTTATTCTCACTACACTTACAGAGGAAATGTAGAGCAAGAAGTGGTAAAGCTGAAGAACTATTTCCTCAAAGAGCCTTCAAGCTTGTCTCACCGTACTTGACATTATGTTGACAAGTGCAGGTTGGTCTCCAACTTCTGTTCTGTTGTACATTGACTATTATTTCTGTCGAAAAAGTTTGTCGTCGTTGGCAAGTGTAACAGTAATTGAGTTGCGCACATAATTATTCTGTGAAATATATAGTTATTGCACATAAACATGTTGTCTTGAGAAGAACATTGTACATATTTTTGCTATAAGAAAATACATGCTGTTAATAATAGTTTCCCCAACATTGAACATGGAGGCATCCTTTTGGAGCAATGACGCGAGACTGGAAGTGTAATTTCCTATATCCAAGGGTTCATAATTGATTTAATCTGATTTTTACACAGGGAGTGCATTTCTTCATAGTTGCCGATGAAAGTCGCTGAAATGTTTCTGTCATTTCCTCTAATAATTATTTTCTTGGGATTTGAGAAAAAGAAAGAAGTTAATAAGTGTTCTGCAAATGACAGGGAAAGGGTGACTTGTAGGTGAAACATTAGCTGTTGAGAAGAATGAAGAGTGGTACTGAGTAGTTGAGATTCGATGTTTTAGAATCGTACTGAGTCGAGATTTGATATTTTAGAAGGAAACCCAAAATATCGGTGTTGCTTTCAGATAAAAATTCTTCCCTGCGTCCTCTTTCTGGGGAAACAAACAATTTCAAATGACCTGTCACCATTTCTCTCATTTGGACGACAGCTCAATCATCCGTTGATTGATGATCCTATATCTGCCTCAAATTCCCTATCCTTAATTCTGCACTATAATGAATATTAATATAATTGGAGATAAAAAAGAATTTATTTTTATATATTATTAATATAGTTTATTAATTTTACACATAAAATTAAAAGATTGCAAGATGAGTTATTTTTAAAAATTTTTATATTATATCTAAAATAATATCTCCTAAAAAAATGATAAAAAAATCTACATAATTGGCTGATTACTAATGACCAAGCACCAAAAGTTTACACCCACGACTAAATATCAAAGGGAAACGACCTTACGAGATCTCAGCCGGTAATAAAGTTGACCAGTTACATCATGAGACACGTGAACTAGCCTGATCCAATCTCGTGTATAGGATAACTGCTGTCCTTATTCAGAAAGAAAATAAAAATCTAACAGGGGGCAGGTAAGCATGCGCTTCTTGGGTACTTGGGAAAAAAGTTTCTCTTTTCTCTCTATATATGGAAGAAGCCAGTGAAGATCGAGTCCTCAATTGGTAATCAGAGAGCTGTCTCCACTTTACAGATTCTTGAAAAAAGATAAGATCAAATCCTTTTCTTCCAGGTCCTTCCTCCCTCTCTCTCTCTCTCTTCACATTCTGCTTCACTGTCTTTCTTTTCTTCTGTTTGGCTGGTGAGAATATTAAATGAAATAAAAAAAATTCCAGTTCATTTGTAGTTGATTTTACTTGTTTTTCCTTTTATGCTTTATATTTCTCTGTTATATTTCTATGGTAAAAAAAAGTTTCAAATACATTTTTTTTCTTCTAAATTTTGCTTTTTTTTTTCATCATTTTTGCGATTCTAGTTAGTCAAGTTTAGCATAAACAATAAATCTACGTAAAGATTATTACGTGGTTATTATTTTAATGGACCAAGTGTTGTAATTCTTTGTGTTTATTGATTTTGATTTACCCAAAATGATGTTCTAATTACTTTAGTTCCGACGGAATTTAAATTTTATTTTTTAGATATATGAAGAGTAATGTTGGCTTCTACAAAATATTAAATATTATACATTTTCTTTTATCATTTTAGATGAATATACGCCCAGAATACTGAAGCAGGAAACTTTTGTATGTCACCTGTCAAAGCTCTAGTCGACATTTCATAAAAATTTATGATTTTTACCAAAGTTCATAGCAGTTTGTAGAGTTCTTAAATCATATTTAGGTCCATTGTGGTGTCCTTTAGGATATTAGAAACTCTAGTGTTCTGTTTATCTGATGGAAATTTTGTGAAGTTTGATATGTTGTTAATATTTTATTATTCCTACTAATTCTGCATTTATCTATCATGTTTGTTGTGGATGTTGCATATGTAGTTAATTATTTGATGGTTGTTTGGTCATGATTTATTGATAACTTACCACTTGCTGGCTCAATCCAGATATGGCATCGGTTTATGCCAGCTTCACATCAGTTGTATGCAAGAATGGCAACCATTCTGCTCCTACAAGGTTTCCAAGCACAACCTTCTTACCTGGCTTCGATGTGGTTGGGCGTGTTTCAAATGCTTGTAAGAAGGAAATATGTCCTCCCGCCATGAGTTCAGGTCCTAAAGCCACATTAACTTTTGATCCTCCAACAACCAATTCAGACAGAAGCAAACAGAGGAAGCATACCATCGATCCTGCTTCCCCTGATTTTATGCCGCTTCCATCCTTTGAAGAATGCTTCCCAAAGAGCTCAAAAGAATGCAGGTTAATTTGGTTATATATATGTAGCTTGTTGGTTCTGTTTTCTTTCCTTTTGGTCAAAATGATTTTTTATGCATGATCTATCTTTCAGGGAAGTTATTCATGAGCAATCTGGCCATGCACTCAAGGTTCCCTTTCGAAGGGTCCATTTGAGTGGAGATGAGCCAAACTTTGACACATATGACACTAGTGGTCCGCAAAACATCAATCCACGCATCGGTAGGGAGCTCAAGTTTATTTTTACCTTCTTGCTTTTGTTTGAAGGCTTTAATATTATCTCCTTTTTCGTTTTGTTTTGGTTGTCCAACTGCCCTCTTTTCTCTTCTTGATAATTCTTGATTGTTTGTTTGGGTCTTTACTCTGGTCTGATTCTTTTTTAGTTAGTCCATCAATCTAATCCTCTTCATATATTGGATCTCCTAATATGGTTATAGTATTCATATCTATGTTTAAGTTAATTGCCAAGTCTTGTGCATGACATCTCTAAACAGGACTGCCTAAACTGCGCAAGGACTGGGTTGACAGACGGGAAAGGCTGGGTGCACCAAGATACACTCAGATGTACTATGCTAAGCAGGGAATTATTACTGAGGAAATGTTATATTGTGCTACTCGTGAGAAGCTTGACCCAGAATTTGTAAGGTCAGAGGTTGCCCGTGGAAGGGCAATCATTCCTTCCAACAAAAAGCACTTAGAGCTGGAACCAATGATAGTTGGACGAAACTTTTTGGTCAAAGTAAATGCAAATATTGGAAATTCAGCTGTTGCAAGTTCCATTGAGGAGGAAGTTTATAAGGTTCAATGGGCAACAATGTGGGGTGCTGATACTGTTATGGATCTCTCAACTGGACGCCACATTCATGAAACCCGTGAGTGGATCCTACGTAACTCTGCTGTGCCAGTTGGGACTGTGCCCGTCTATCAAGCACTTGAAAAAGTGAATGGAATTGCTGAAAATCTTAGTTGGGAAGTCTTCAGGGACACCCTGATCGAGCAAGCTGAGCAGGGTGTAGATTACTTCACAATCCATGCTGGGGTACTGCTGCGATACATTCCCTTAACAGCAAAGCGCATGACAGGAATCGTTTCTCGTGGAGGATCGATTCATGCAAAATGGTGCTTGGCATACCATAAGGAGAACTTTGCTTATGAGCATTGGGATGACATACTTGATATATGCAACCAATATGATGTGGCCCTTTCAATCGGGGATGGACTAAGACCTGGGTCTATATATGATGCCAATGACACCGCTCAGTTTGCTGAGCTTTTAACCCAAGGGGAACTGACCCGTAGGGCATGGGAAAAGGATGTACAGGTATCTCATTGCAACCTATACAAGAGCCCTTTTTGCATTCTGTTTATGACAATGTTTGGCAGTTGTGCTCAATTTGAGCATATTACTGGTTTTACATGGTTTTGGTTATCTTATAACATCTGCATTAAATTTCTACAATGCTGATATCAGGTTGTGAATTTCAATCACTCTGTTTCAAATGAAAATGTTTCATGCAATTTCACATGATTGGCAATCTCATTTCAGGATATGTCAATTGTCAAACCAAACAAAATGCTAGCTGTATTCTTAAATAAGCTATACCCTAGCATATCCTATTTTTTCATCACTATGCATTTGTTATTACAATTACGGTTTTTTCGATTTCTACAACATCTATAGCTTGCAATACAAGGTTTTGATTTTTGCACTTTTCAGGTAATGAATGAAGGACCCGGTCACATCCCAATGCACAAGATTCCTGAAAATATGCAAAAGCAGCTGGAGTGGTGTAATGAAGCACCTTTCTATACCCTTGGTCCTTTGACAACTGATATCGCTCCTGGATATGACCATATTACTTCTGCAATTGGTGCAGCCAACATTGGGGCTCTTGGCACGGCACTTCTTTGTTATGTAACTCCAAAGGAGCACCTTGGGTTGCCAAACAGAGATGATGTAAAGGCTGGAGTGATAGCATATAAGATAGCTGCTCATGCTGCTGATTTAGCCAAAGGTCATCCACATGCTCAGGCATGGGATGATGCATTAAGCAAGGCTAGATTTGAGTTCAGATGGAGGGACCAGTTTGCTTTGTCACTAGACCCCATGACTGCCATGTCCTTCCATGATGAAACCCTTCCATCTGAAGGTGCCAAAGTGGCTCACTTTTGCTCCATGTGTGGACCAAAGTTTTGCTCAATGAAGATAACAGAGGATGTTCGGAAGTATGCTGAGGAGCATGGTTATGGGAGCCCTGAGGAAGCTGTGCGACAAGGGATGGATGCTATGAGTGCTGAATTCCTGGCTGCCAAGAAAACTGTTAGCGGTGAGCAACATGGTGAAGTTGGTGGAGAAATCTACTTACCAGCCAGTTATGTCACCTCCTCTGACAGGTGAAGGTCAGTTTATTGGAGTTGTTCTTTGTTATTGAAATTCTAGAAGGTGTTACATGCTGCACTGAAAATGTTACTCTTGAGTAAAGATTGAAAAAGTAATCCTGTGATTTCTAATGAAATCAGTTCATGGTAAAATAAGTCAAATCCTATAAAATAGTTTTTTTTTTTTTTAAGGAAAAAATTGAGCAGATAATTTATCTCATAGACAACAGACTGTTAGGCCAATGTAAGATGATTAATCACCCACAGGTTTATTTTGTCCTATAATTATCAGCATGCAGTCCCACCTCTTTTTAAAGTTTTCACTTAATGCAACTGAGGGTTGTGCATGCAGCATGTACTATGATTATTTATAAGAACTCAGACCAGTTAATCATAAGTGCACTTAGTTAATATTCACTAGATAATCCATGATTAATCATAATCTTTCTTACTCAAACTCAGGAATAGGTCATGATTTTTTTTCGTTATTCACGTATGTATCCTCTTTTTCTGCCTTTATGTCCCAGTCATTATTTTGTTCCTTATGCGATATGTCTCATAGGGATTTCCTTGCAGGGTCATATGAGTAAGGGGAATTGCTGCAGAATCCTCGGAGCCTTAATGCATCACTAGCTCACTAATAACAGTTATATATGCAGTCTTTTACTATCATGCTTTAGGTGAGTACCAGTTTAGTTTGTTTTGTAGCTCTTAAGACATCTATAGTTGTTCTGCTTTATCTATTGTGAGTCTTAATAAGAAAATGTTTCCCCTACAACTTCCATGCACATCGTATTTATATTTTTGATGTTGTATTGACATAAAAACGCACCGGGGGTGCCTGTATCTGCTTTTAGCTCTGGGCAATTTTGCCAGGATGCTGGCAGATGAGGCTGAGAAAGTCCCTTTGAACCTGAACAGGATAATGCCTGCGTAGGGAGTGTGCATTTTCTTTTCCTTTGTTTCTGTGGCTTGTACAGGAAAGGAGCTCCCATGTCCCATCGATGGTTTGGGCTGTGTGATCGACGAGGGTAGATACAGCTTTATGGCCTGAATTGGCAATTTTGCAAAATTTCCATGCTTCGGGTGCATTTGGCTCCACTCACTACATCAAGATTTCATAGAAAAATTGTGTTTGCCTATAAAATTAAATAATAGGTTTTTTTAAAGAATAATTTAAACTACAATTTTCTAAGATAGCAAAATTTATTGGATTTGCTTTCAAAGTGTTCTTAGATTTACACAGTTTTGAAGTTCTATCGTGGGTAGTTTTGAAAATGCAAGAATGCAATGAGTTCTTTGGATTTGTGTTATTCCATAAGCCAAGCTTTCCTATAAATTTGGAACTGTGATAGCCAAATTACTAAAACAACTCAAGTTTGATCATGCAAGGCAGAAAAATGTAGAAAGCTTGTAGGCCAACATATATTTAAGAAAGCCAGGATCGCGAAAAATGATCTTTGCTTTTTCTAATTGATTAAATCGTTTTTCATCTCCTCAAAATCCAACGTTTTTTCAATCTCAAATCATTTACATCTCTTCCGATCATTTCGAGTAAAAGCTTTAATTGATTAAATCATATATCAGATCACTCACTCTCACCAGTTTCAGTTGGTGGTCTGAGCGACTATATTTTCAACCCATAGATCGGCCGCGATAAAGAGCCTTGGGCCTGTTTGTCGTTGTCCAACGGTTAGCGACTGTCCCAACACAAAAAATTCAGTGGATAATGTAGCACTCTTTCCAAATTTTCTCTTTTCTTTCTCTTCTTTCACGTTATCCAAACAAGAAGAAATGGCGACTTCAGCTCCAGTACCCACTTCACTTTCCTTCTTCTCATCCTCCCTTTTCCTCTCCTCTTCTTCCACCAAACTCCTCACCCGCTTTTCCATCTCCTTCAAATCCTCCTCGAAACCCAAACTCTCCATTTCTTCCCAACTTTCCACTCTTCCCATTTTATCCTTTACGGGTGAAAAAATCGGCGAAACCTATCTCGACCTCAAGTCGGCCCCACCCGAAACCGCTCGAGCCGTTGTTCACCGAGCAATCATCACGGACCAACAAAACAAGCGACGTGGCACCGCCTCCACACTCACCCGCAGCGAAGTTCGAGGTGGCGGGAGAAAACCTTATCCCCAAAAGAAAACCGGCCGCGCACGTCGTGGGTCCATGCGCACCCCGCTCCGACGCGGCGGTGGTGTAATCTTCGGACCCAAACCCAGAGACTGGTCAATTAAAATCAACAAGAAAGAGAAAAGATTGGCGATTTCGACGGCATTATCCAGTGCAGCCGAGAACACGATAGTTGTTGAGGAATTCGGGGATAAATTCGAGAAACCGAAGACGAAAGATTTCATTGAGGCATTGAAGAGGTGGGGATTGGACCCAAAGCAGAAATCGATGTTTTTGATGATGGAAGTGCCGGAGAATGTGAGTAAATCAAGCCGAAATATCGGGACTTTGAGAATGTTGACGCCGAGGACGCTTAATTTGTTTGATATTTTGAATTGCGATAATCTGGTGTTGACTCCGGATGCTGTGGATTATTTGAATGGAAGGTACGGAGAAGATTATGAGGGTGACACTGATGATGATGATGATGATGATGATGAAGGAGAAGAAGAAGGCGGTGAAGGTAACGTCTTTTAGTTATTGTTATTAGAGAATTATTGTTAATAATGGTGCTTTAATGTCATGTTTTGTTGCATTATTGTTTTTAATGTGAATGTGACATGTTTACTTTTGGAAGATGGTACTTGTGGGAGATTTAATTATAGAAGAAGGTGTATCTAAAGATGCTTAGTTCATAAGAATGTCTTTAGTAGGATTTGAAAATGGAAATGCAAAGTTGGTGTTGGTTTGAAATGATGTTTGATGGAGAATTATACGATGGAAATATAGGGACTGTGTACATTGAACATGTGTAAAGATGCAAAGAGAGTAGTAGGAAGTTTATTCTTAGGAAGAGATTTTTTTGCATTATATTCGATATATGAATAATTCATAATGAATAGTTGCAAAATGCAAAAACGTCTATGTGTAACAAGTATTACATATGACTTCTGATATGTTGTTGTTGATCAGTTATTTTGCATTTGTTGGCCTGCAGAGATGATAGGATGCCCCTAACTATAATTTTTCTTGTAAATCCTTTGAATTGCCATTTTCCCTTTCATCTAAGGGATGCTAACTGGAAACAAGAATTCAATGGGCCTTCTTTTCAGATATCATCTTTCTTATTTTTTTTCTTTCTCTACATTTGCAGAGGCAGATGAGAATGATGATGCAGCACAATGACCTCTTACCACAGTTATTCTATAAGCCATTGCATTCACATAGCCTGAAGAAATTCTCTGCTATTCATAAGTCAACATTGCTGCAGGCTAGTTTTGGTAAATTTTTTTAGTCCATTATTTTTGTATCTTTGCACATGTTTAAAAATTTGTATCTATTTAGTTCATCCGTGTGCTAACATATCCCAAGCATTACTTCCTGTTTTCTTCTCCCTTTATTTGCGTATTACTTTTTGTATTCATTACTTTTAGTAAGATTAATATGCTTGGTTGCAATGGAAATGCAATATTGGGGTTCAAGTTATAGCATTATGATGTTCTAACCTGAATTAAAAGGGGAATAATGGATATTATGTTGGGAGATGGACAATGCAAATAAACTAAAATTGGGATAAGTCACTGGTTTGGCCTTTAGAAATTGGGATAGCTGTTATCTAAGGAATTAGTTCTGACCTGATCAACAAGCATAAGTAAAATTGTCTTGAAACAGCTAGTGATTATTTGGAGGTGAATAAAAAACTCCAGGCATCTACTTTTATTCTTTGGTGCACCAGTCTTGGTAGTGAATTATTTTGAGATATTACTATGGCTTTCTGCAAGTTTAGGAGACTGAAATTATTGGAAGTTCATAGTACGAACAGAAGGATCAATTGTAGGTAAGAAAAACCTGAAAAAGTTCCTGTTATAGAAACCATTTGTCAGAATGTATTCTGGTTTCACTAAGGAATTTTACCTTATATTTATGGAAGTCTTTGAACTTAGTGAAGCATATATTAAGAAAGATAAAGAAATCTTGAAGTAGATGTGGAATGGAAATTGAAAGACATGGAAGTGTGTAATGTAAAATGCCTTTTTATGTATGATCAAGAGAAGACTTGCAATTAACCAACAGATTTTGGCCCATGGTGTTTTTGTTCCCCCCTTTAGGGTAGGCTGACCTGCAGGTTCCACGGTCATATTTTGTTAGTTCTTGGTAACAGAAATTGGAATGACAAAATAGCTGAGGCTTATGGCATCGGAATAGTCAGGTCTGGATTGAAATTGAGGTTGAGTTAGCTAAGAACATGTCATTTTGCTACTACTCGTAGCTGTAAAAACTCGTATCATGACATGGCTACGAGAATTTTGAGGTTAATTGACTTCTTGTTTTTTTGCAAGTATATGATATTTTGACAGAAACAGGAAATGTTGCTACATTCTACCTCTAGGTGGAGCCTATTTGATGCTGGCTGCATGTATCTGTAACTGTTCGTTGCAAATTGGGAACTCTTGATTTAGCCATATTGTATACAATTAGACAAATAAGGGGTCCCTTGGATGGTTGGTGAGAGGATTACTATCGGGTTGTGGGTGGAGTTAGATATAAACCGACACCCATAGTGCATTGAAGTTTCTTTTCACCTGCATCCAAACAGAGCAGAAGTAAATGAATATAGGGTCTCTTTATCATCAAGTAAGCTGGATTCAAGTCCAAAATGGAGCAAGTGTTCTCTTGTGGCTGCTACCAAGTAAAAGCCTGTGCATTTTATTAAAAAAGTTGACGTGTTTTAAATCCTCAAGTTATTAGATTAATGTCAATAGCTCTAAATTGTAAAAAGACAAAATGGAATTTACCATATATTCGTTTAATTCGTGAACTCTCCGCCTTAATCCAAAAAAATATATAAGCAACTTACGGACAAAGTTGAGCTTCTAATCAAAATCCTGAACCCTTGAATTTGACGACTGAATCAGCTATTAGTGTCCCTTTGCAAGAATCAAATTTCAACAATCTTTAATTCATGGCAAGCGAGCAGAAGCAAATCTATCACGAAAGGCAAAGATTACAATTTTGCCTTCCCTCGACAATCTCTACCGGGTACCTTGACTCTCTTTCCTAGTATGTTCTTGTGAATGGGTTTCTATTAATAATTTGTAATATTTTGTTGCAATTCAGCAAAAGGATGCATTTACACGAGCAAGTTTGAATTCAGTCGCTGAAAAACTCGTTCTTGATGACCCAAAAATGGAAATTTGGACACCCTTTTCTTTAGTCTTCAAGCCTCACCATAATTCAGTTACTGGAAACTATGATGTAAATGTTTTAAGTGCTGCACTTGAAGGAAAAGGGAAGACTGTGATTTGGCATGATCGTCGAAATGGGGCATCAGCTATTGACCTTAATGATGGAATGTTGATGGGAATTGAGATTAATGTTCCTGTTAAACGGGATGGTGGGCTTTGGAAAGGTAGGCATTGGATTGCATTGAGAAAGATTGATGGGGCTTGGTATAATTTGGATAGTGACCTTCAGGCACCTCAGTGTTTTAAGGATTGTGGAGAAGTTTGGGAATTCTTGGATTTTATCATTGCTCATGATGGACAGGTTTTGCTTGTAAAAAATGAGACACAATGAGTTGTCTTTACTTTGAATTACAGGAATGTGAAAAAAGGAAAAAAAAAAAAAAAAAAGCTCTGTATTCTATTGACGAATTCAATTTATTGATCTGTTTTAACTTTTTGTTGAGAAACCAGTGGTTATAACTAAGGAAATGGTTAGACCTTTTGGCCTGGGAGGAGGTGAGTGGAGACATTCATGTGATGCCTGTGCTCTGATGCCATGTTAAAGTCTTACAAAGCTGAAAGAAAAACGCACTCACTTCTAGTGAGGAGTGGATTATATATTTATAGGCAAATCATTGTGCAAGAGATAAAATAAAAACAATTGAATTCAAGATACAAGAAATCTTAATCTTGAACCACAATGAAATGAAGATTGCAAGTTGATGTCATCTGCATTCATTAGATTAAATACTATCATATAGTATTTGTCTATGAGGCATGTTTGACAATGATCTTAAGCTGTATACAGAAGCAGAGGATAAAAAAAAAGCAATACAACAGAAAGAGCAGTCTCTGTTTAATCACTGTTGCATGAAATGTTGCCATTCACAGTCACTTTTTTTGCAGACAAATGTATCACATACAGTATATCAAATATGCCATTCACTTTTCCTCGTTTTGTTCTGATGTTTTAAAGCTGACAAGCACATAAATTCACAACCTAAACTGTTATGAGCCTTTCATCCAAAAATCTCATCAGGAACTGACCAAAAACAGTAAATACAAACATCCAACTTCAAATGAATTCGTAATATATGATAAAGAAATTAAAAAGTAGTGTGCATTGAAGGAAATTAATAACAGCTTAATGTTGAAGAATAAATAAAGGTTCATAATATTGAAGATACAAAAAGGGAATTCCAAACCAATGAGACCCCCCCGGAGATGATTGGATGATTATAGTTACTTTCATTTCTTGGCGAAAAGTCCTCCAAAGCCACCACCCTTCTTCTTCTGAGGGACAGTAACAGAGTTCTTGCGGCCATTAGCACTGCCACCACCACTCTTTTCTTCAGCCTTATTGAGGATAGGATCAGTTTCATAAAACTGGTCCTCCTTCTGCAAATTCCCAAGAATCCAATCAAAAAGCCCTTTCTCTTCTTTGCTTCCACCTTCACCTTTCGCAGCTGTTGTTGCAAAAACCCTTGTTGTAGAAGGAGCAAAGGAAAATATTGGCAGGGAAGCCATTGTCACTTAATTTGCTCAGACAAGTTGAATTTTTTTTCTTCTTATGAAATGATGATGGAGGAGCAAAGGAGATTATGTTACTGTGGGAATATATTTCATTTTTTTTTTATGGGGTTTGGGTTTGCAGTGAATTTTGGACCGTTGGATGGGATTAAGATCATGAGTTGGAAGAATGGGGGAGTGCTTATACCACGAGCTCTCCACAACTGTCTTATCTTCGTTGCTGGATTTTTAAGGTTATTTATTTAATTGGATTTGTGATTTTTAATTTTTGAGAGGAGGAAAAATAAGGGAAGGGAATTGATCTTAGCAGGTTATGGAGATGGGATTGACACGTGGCAAAAACGTAACCTTTGCACTTTGCTTGGAGTTTTAGCTGCGGCTTACCTCAATGAGCCAAGCCAGAGGGCCATGTCTAATTTCCAAAATATAGTCAATTTTTTTTTTTTTTTTAGGAAAATGAATATTTATCCCATTCAAGCTTGATAGAAAATATATTTATCCTTTTTAAAATTTGATGAAAAATATTTAATTCATTTTTTATTAGGTTAATTTTAAATAAAAATAAATAAACCCTTTTATTAATTGCTAATTATTTATTTATATATGATATTATTGACACAATAAGGGGATTAATGTTTTATAAATTAACAGATGAAGTTTTGTGTTTTTACAAAATATATCAGTTACACATTAGGTAATTTTGAAACATAGGTCTGAATGAAAGCAAATAAATATTTTTGGAAACAAAAATAACCTAGGAGAGATGTACACCACAGCGCTTAGACTGTTTTAAGGGCTAACATCATCATGTATACATCATTCTAAAGAATAAATCTAGAAACACAAAATTAATCACAACACGATTAAAATTAAATATTATTCATATCGAGACCGGTATGTTGCGAAAATTCAAGGTTAATGAGAGTGTGATTACTAAGATTAAATCTTTTTTTTTTTTTTTGCAAAGAAGTTGTAATTTTAGAGAAAATAATTTCAGATGTTCAATTTAAACTACAAGTGAAAATCATTTTATAAAAATGATTACATAAATTAAATTTCAAATTCATTAAATTATCTCTTACAAACTAAAAAAAAAAAAAAAGCTAAAAATCTTAAGAAAAGTAACGTAACAATGATACTGGCAAACCAGTAATATTTCTTCCACAAGTTTAAGAATCTTGCCGGAAATTGAACAAATTCGATCAATTAGAATGAAAATTTTAACCAATTAGAGTTGATAAATGATCGAAATGACACATAACACACTTCTCAGTTAATGGCTGCAATTAATTAGTCTTTGCATTCCCTACATACATACATACATACGAACTTGAGCTTATAGATTTAGATGATTTGTTATATATTCATGCACACATGTAACTGTGGCACATAAGAAGCTAAGTGTTTGAGAGATTCCTAGCAGAGAACAACAAAGTTTTTGAGAGAAAAAGCCAATGAAATTGCAAAATTGATTTGTTAGGATTGAATATTAACAATTATAGAAATTACAAGCTGTGGTGTTTACTATACAAATAAATTGTTCTTCCTCCAATGACACCTCTTAGAGCTATTGATAATTTTGGATTCTCAATAATTTGGCACTCCTTTGCCTGGCATGAAGAAAATGGCCAGTAGTTGAAGTCCAAAATTGACTCAATGCTTTTCATCGTTTGTCTTCATTCCGTCAATTGAACTCTCTTAATTACCTCAAGCGTGTGGGGGCTTGAGCCGCCTCATGCTGAACATCTAAATGATGGTCGAGTCAGTCCAGTATTTTCTCACCAGTTGAAAAGAGGTTCCAGACCACAGTTCCAACCAGGTATAGCCCAACTGAAACCTTGAAGACATCATCCCAAGAACCTGAGAATGGCCAATACAAAGAGAACAAAAAAAGCCTAGGCATCAGCAAATGTAAAGATTCAATTACCATTATGGGGGGAAAAGGAAATGGAATCATCACAAGATTTCACGGGAAGTATAAAGCACTAAATACGACATCATATGAACCTTAAGTAAAAAAGACTTGATCAACTTAACCAAACATGAGGCCAAAGGTGGTATTATGTAGGAGCAACTCTGCCCATTTATTGTCAGATTCATCAGCACGTAAATTTCCAGAGCCAAAGGTGAGTTAAAATTTCTTTCAGCAAATTCTATGCCATATAGGCCATCATTCAGTTCAAGTGAGCACATTCCTCTAGTTCATATAAACCAGGAACTAGAAAAATCAAGGAGTGACCTCTTACCATGTTGCAGGATGTAACCGGTCGCTGCAGTTCCAAACACCCCTGCCAGTACTCCAGCAGTGTTGGATAAACCAAGTAATACTCCCTGCAAAGAATAAATTGAAAATAAAAGGTAAAATCATCACTTCTCCAAACAAGGTTAAGAGGAAAGCAATGTTAAGAGCCCAACAAAACCCACTCATATGGCAGTGTTTGAGATTAAAATGCCATTACAACAACAAACACTGGTTATTAGCTGAAGCTTATTTGGAACAAAACAAATTCTATCCCCAGCCAATTGATGTAAGCTTCCTTTGTAACAAAGTATGCTCTTGGAGAACAGAACCTAGGGCATCGACTAGTTATGCTAAAGAACTAAAACTTACAGAATATCGAGGGGCAATATCTTGATGGTTCGAATACAGGCCAGACTGTGAAAATGCATCAGTTCCCTATTTAAGAAAACAAAACTGAAATTAGCTCTGCCAATTGTGTATAGTTGATTCAAACAAATTGTTTTATTTCAATTATAATGGAGGAAAATTCCAAATTGAATTTCACCATAAGCCTGCCTAGATAGGTCAGAAAAAGAATTCTACAAAAGACTCAACCTTGACTTAATATTTACAAACTATCTAAAAATCTAGTAGGCTTAAAGATATTGACATCAATAAAGACTCAGTAACGGAGAACAAATTAGAGAGAGGGATCTTATCAAACCCATCATGTATATCAGTTCCATCAAATGAAAACTGTTGGTAGAGTAACTAAGATAGCAATGCTTAAGTGGAATTTTGAGGAAAAAAAAAGAAGGTAGGATAACTGAAACAAAAGCGATATTAAGTCTACGTTTCGAAGTTCTGTAAGAAGCAAACCTGACTGCATGCCATACACAAAACGGCCATAGCAGGGGAATTGACATGGCTCAGCTGAGTTAGGAAGAAAGCAGGGCCAAGAAATCCAATTGATTGCATAATCTGTAATACATAGTAACAATAAAGTGATAAACATCCTGTTTGATATGGAAAATTCAGCTCAACATTATAGCAACAGAACCAAAGTTTATCTGATGAAAGAGCACGCATGTGTCACGTGGCCATTACCCTCTCCCTTCAAAACCGGCTTATCAGGGTGTGCAGCGCCAATGTTTCTTTTTTTTTATACCCCAGTGATCCCCCTTTTGTGTCCAATGTGGGATTGGAGCACCCTGCCTACTCCCTTTGGAGCGCTTGGTGTGACATTCTCCCCCACCCAACCTCGTGATGCCCTCATCACATAGGCTGGTCACCCTGCCTACCTCGATCGAGGCACTTGGCATGGGTCAAACGGTCTAGGGTCTGCTCTGATACCACTTGTCATACGGCCATTACCCTCTCCCCTCAAAACCGGCTTATCAGGGTGTGCAGTGCCAACATTTTTTTTTTTATACCCCAGTGATCCCCCTTTTATGTCCGATGTGGGATTGGAGTACCCTGCCTACTCCCCATGGAGCACTTGGCATGACACATGCACACACACATGGGTGCGTGAAAGAGATTACTGAATATGTAACAGAACAAAAGTTGTTAGTTCATTGAAATAAAAAATCATGATGTGCATCACTCTTGATAGATGTATATATGACTCAAAAGGAAAGTATATTTGGAGAAATCCGCACGATCAAAGAAGAAAGAACAATGAAAATTCTCAAAATAGGCATTATCAGAATTTGTATGAGGAAAAGGAAAATTAGTTATACCTTGCGAACAGTTGTCACGGATAAACCTTTGCTCACAAGTGTATCTGCAATCCACCCTCCAAGATTAGCAGAAAACGCCATTGTAAGCCAGGGCAAAACACAAAAGAGCCCAGATTCTGTGAGGTTGAACTTCAGGACCTATAGATGTATAACAAAATAATTTCTTAATAACATGATGGGAAGGAGAAACATTTATACTTTAACAATTGTTAGAAGGAGCATCAGAAAATAATGCTGTGAGTGCTTCAGTTCAGGTTTCAAAACATGGGAACAGAAAAAAAAATGTTTTGCGAAACGACGTCAACAACAAGCCACAATGCAGTCAAGGCACAAAGACTGTAGATTTCAACAATTTGAGGAAATGTCATGGAATCATCTGAATTGATAAACAATAAAACCAGAACTCATATGCTAGTTTCTTAGCCAACTGATGAGTCATAAGAATCTCCCTAACTATTAAAGAGCACATTATTTCCCCATATGAAATATTGGCATTGGATACCAAAATAAGGGGATAGTGTAAGACACTCCTCTTTAATAATTTACCAGGAACTTAATATCAAAGGTTTTTGTTGACTCTTCCACATTTAGGATGATTATTAAGCGTTTTGAATGCTATGGTGGCAAGAATGACAGAACAGTGTGCATTTCAATGATGAAATCGCTTACTTGATTATAGTATGTTGGCATCCATGTTAAAAGAATAAATGTTCCCCAATTGTGACAGAAATGAGATGCTATTAGGGCCCATACAGGTGGTTTTGACAAGATTAACCTCCAAGGTATTGTTTTAACTGGCTGCTTGGAAATACAATTGGTAACAATAAGCTTCTTCTCTTGGGGCTGAAGTTGAGTATCCTCAAGAGGTGAACTGTGAGCCTACGAAACAAAGAAGAAAAAAAAAAGATTTGGAAGATATTTTCAAATAAAATCAAACACTTGTATCTGAACCTTCTTGTTGACATACAACTGAACACTTCAAACAAAAATAAAACTTAAAATTATTCAAAATAAGAGGTGTGCTTCATTTCCATATAATACTAATTTATTTAGAATTTGAGCAATTTTAGACTGTAAAACCAACCATGTCAAGGGCAGCATTTACCTTATTTAGCCATAAAGCAAACCAGACCGTCCCTAGAGAACCAAAGGAGTAAAACACTGATGGCCATCCAAACTGATGTATCAAAAATGGTGAAAATGCCAGGCCAGTAACAGAGCCAAGATACATTCCACTATACACCAATGCTAATGATCTACTCCTTTCAGCAACAGGGACCCATTTTGACAGTATATTATTCATGGCAGGCATAGCAACACCCTGAAAACAAAATCAAACTAAATCAATACCTTGGCCTTATTTATACAGTACAAAAAGTTATAGATTTCTATGAAAAAATTTCAAGCTATTCTTACATCTACAAAACATCAATTTTGATAGAATAACAGTAATAAAGGAACCCACCTCGCCAACTCCCATGAAAGCACGAACGACAAGGAGAAATGGCAACCCGAGTTTAGCAGCAACAGGAGTAAGAGCTGTAGCAATGGACCACCAAACTACCCCAAATCCCAACACCGACTTGCCACCTACAGTGTCTGCCCATATGCCACCGGCAATCTGTCATTTACTACAACTTTATTAGTAACAAAACCCACAAAAAAATCTACTTTAGATTAACAGAAACCAAGATTTCATCCCATAACTAGACCATTAAAAAAAAGGGGAAAAAATAAGAAGAAGGAAGAAGAAGAAGGCATCTATTACCTGAGTGAGGAGATAACCCCAGAAAAAAGATGACTGTATTAAACCAACAGTCGCTGGGTTCCAATTGAATTCAGCTGACATTGGAAGTATAGCAATGCTCATATTGACCTGCCAAGCAAAATCTGTTCAAAATTGATAATGCAAAGAATAACACAATTTTAGCTGAATTAAGCTACTCCTAATTGTTATAGTTATGAAACTAATGGTCATTTTCAATGCTCTTAAAAAGAAATCTGCTTTTCTCCAAGAATCAAAGAAAGGCTTACTCTATCCATGTTACACAGCAAAAAGGCTGAAAAACACAAAAGAACGATAACCCAACGTTTAGGGAACTGTTCCCACCAAGGAACCGAACAATCCAAAACCTCCTCACTCGAAACGACATCGTTTAATGCATCTTTGAACTTAACCGATTTTCTTATCGACTCGGCGATTTCTCTAACGTCTGCATGTACTTTCCAGCTTCTTCTTCTTCTTCTCTCACAGGAGTTATCACTAACTGAAACACGGAAAAGACGGGAGCAATGGGAGGAATTGACCCGGACACGGAAGACGGATCGGGATGGGTTGGGCTTGTTCCGGGTGGAGATACTGTCGGGTGGTGATATGGGGACATTTGGAGAGAAGAGAAGAGCTCTGAAGCTCATGGCCACCCTTTTAGTTTCACCACTTAACAAACAGACGGAGAGAGAGGAAGATTTTTTATAAAGCTACCTGGAGAGAGAAAATGGCAGCGATATTTATGGGGGTTGGTCCGAAATTTGACACGTGTAATGGATGGATTAACAGAAAACGGATTTTGGATTCCAATTTTTTCGTTTTTCATCTTATTAGATTGGGCTTGTCAAAGTTCAATAGCGGAGGCCTGTAAGGCATGGAAACTCTGATGGGCTCAAGTTCATCCAGCTTGCTTTGTGGGCTAACGAGTCTGTTCGGATAAAGCCACTCAGATCCAATGCGTTTAGGTTTTGCCATTTTGGGCTAGGCATCCTCCAATCTAGTTTTGCTTTTATTTATTTACTCTTTTTTCAATTTTGTAAGACAAATTTTAAGTAAAATTATTTAATAATTAATACACAATCACTGATGTTTTAAATTAAATCAACAGGCTTAGAGTGTTGTCTCGTATCTCATCGGAATATATCTTAAAAATTAATAAATTAATATTATAAATAATGGGAAATTTAATAATATTTTAATTCTATTTATGAAATTTAAAATTTTACAAATATTATATAAAATAATCATCTAAAATTTAAATATTTTTACATTTGAGAAATAAAGATCATTATTTTTTTATAATATCGTAATTCAATCTCAACAATAATTTAATGACCTCCAATTTTGTGGTTTCAAGATTTTATCCTCAAAATCGAGTTTAACATGGACAAATAAGCCTATTAGATGTCGTTTAATACGAGGAACAAATCTCATAATTTAGAATAGGATATCAATAGATAAAGTATAAGGAAGATAGAGTATTTTTTATTTTTATTTTTTAATTTTTATATTATCTCTATTTAATGTATTCATATTTAATAAATTTATCTCTTATTTTCATCTTCATAAATATTTAATGAGTATGAATAATTTTCATACTTATAATTTTTTAAAAAATAAAATAAAAATTATTTTTTAATTTTTAATTTATATATTTAGATAATTTTTTTATAAATATATATATTAATATATTAATAAAAATATATTATTTTTAATTAATTTAAAATAATAATTTAATTATTTAATAAAATTTTATTTATTATATATAAATATATATAAAAAAATACTAATACGAATAAATATTATATTATCATTCTTTATATTATACCCAATAAAAATTTAAAATTATTCATATTTTTTTTTATATTTATAATATAATATCAATCTTTATTTTTATTCAAATAAAAAATCAAAATTTTTATTAAATATTAATAAAATTAACATCTTTAATTCATAATCAATCAAACTTAGTTAACTACATATCCAGTTATCTACCAAAAAAGGTGGCAATAAATGTTTACATTAAATAAGAGGAAGAGGACAACTGAAAAAGTAGAATAGTCTGAAGTATGCAGCTTAATTAGTTAGAAGAGCCTAGAGCCTACATTCATATCTAATTAGCTGGTCTGACCATCACCGATGCCACCACAATTATGCAAGCTTTGAACAGTATTACTTTATAGATTCTTCTTTCTTTATGGTTCCTTATCGAAAGCGGCAATTATGTTCACTCACATAAATTGAGCCACAGCAGGGCAAGACCGACCCTCCCTCTGTGGGTCAGTGCATCACTCTACCAGCAAAACTACCTCTCTTAAAGCTGCACCATTAACGAAGCCAAATGGTTTCACTAATACTCTATCACATCACCCTCTTCGCATCCGAAAGGGCATACTTGATCAGTTGATATTTAAAAATTTTAAATTCAAGTCTTAAATTTGATGAAAAAATTAAAATTTAATTTAATTAATTTATACAATTATTTTTAAAAAATAACATCAATACATTTTAAATTTTAATTTCAATATTTTTAATTTTTTATTCTTATATTATGATCTCTTTTATTAAAAAAATAAGACGAATAAATTTATACAATGACATAAAAATATCTTTCATTGTGTAATTTTACAGCTTTCCATTTCAAAGGATGATCAAATTAAAAGGAGATTAAATTAAAAACAAAAAAAAAAAAACAATGCCCTTACATTGCATAGATGTCTTAATTGAAGAGTTTCTAATACAAGTACAAACTATAATTGTTGGTCATATGGGTTGAGCTATAATTAATTTTAGTCAGCTATCAAACCAGACAGAAACTTTAGTCTTTAGCTCACTGGACCACCCTATTATCATTCACTTCTATCAAAATTTCCATTTCTATATATAATCATTTAAAAAGTAGAAGCTATAGGTGAATTTGGATGTACCCAAAAGGTTTTTTTATCACACACTTTTGGTCAGATTTCACATTTCAGCACAGTTCAATAATGAGATTCAGAAGACTTGATGCTCAAGATAAACTGCTAGCTGAATGCCACAGGTTCAATCTGCCAATGCCTTCATAATTGGCGGTAAAAATTTTATAAAAAAATGCATAATGTACAATCTCTTATTTTACTTTTTGATGATTTCACTTGTTTTTTTCTTTTAATTATAAAATAAAATTGAATGTAACCAAAGGAAAATTAATTGGTTAAATCATCATTAAATTTTAAAAAGGAAATGAAGATCAGGAGCATATCTGAATGCTGATGGCCAATTAGGCATCAATCCCAACCCCATGTGTTACTTAACCACTGGACTAGAGGAAGATATATGTATGCATCAAGTGGCTAATCCCCACTTTCCCACAACTTCAATTTAATTATCCTTTGATTTAGGTAAAGTAATGAACTTTTAATTTTAATAATCAAAATTTAATAAGTATAAAAAAAATTATTTAAGGCTCATCCAAAAGCTTCCATTTCAATGATTTTATACCCTTATTTAATAAAAATAATGAATTGGGTGTTCTCCATTGTTAGCCATGCGCAGCTTGAAGACGAAGACCATGAAAAAAAAAAACAAGGCAAAAAAGGATAGAGGAAAGAAAAGCACAAATTTTGGTATAATCAAAGGCAAATTGCTTGTCGTTACGGGCTAAGTAATTTAATTAATTTTAATTATAAATTAGAATTATATTTGATGTCATCGGTGATATAGTTGTTTTTTAAGTGTTTTCATATCCTCATGTATTATTCTATTCATCAATTGTTATTAATTATTATTATAATAATGTTAAAAAAGATTACAGTTACTCCTAATATTGATTCATTTAATATTTTAATAATATTCATAATGTATTTGTTCATATCGATTAAAATCTTCTTTGTTTCTTTTTTCATAAAATATACTCTTTATTTATTATATTAATTTATTAATTATTTATTTCAGATTTTATTTGAATGGGTAATGAGATTAATTGTAATGATATTAAAAATAATAATAAAATTTATTGTAGTTATAATTAAAAAAATTATTACAATTGCGATTAAAAAATTTTAATAAAAAATTTATGTTGATTTGATTTAATTAAAATTAATATTTAAATTTAATTGAAAATATGATGAATTTAATCACGTTATATTAAAAATATGATAGAATCTAAACGGGGACTCAGTCTATTTGGTATAGGGCTCCCAATGATAAACGATGTGTCACCAGTTTCATATTATATGTCCCATTGTGCCGATGGCAATATGGCGATTTCATCAAAATTTCAGATCTTCTATTAAATTGCCCACCAACACACAAAAAATAATAGCAGCGAGCTATCTCAATGTTGGGAGAGTAAATTAATGAAAAACTGTCGGCAGCTTTCTTACATTTCAAGGGACAGCAAAAAAAGGAAATGACAGCAAAGTTCAAAGGGAATCGATGTCCCAAAGTGAAAAGAAGCCTGCCCGCTTGCCTGATCACTTTTGTTTACACTTCATTAAAACCAGGGCTCATTTCAGTCAAAGCCAATGCCCTCGTTGACTTGCTTTTACAGATGGAAGTATAACAATGTCATCCAAATTGATCACATGTCGCAACATCTGTAATCCCAATTTCCCAATTTCAATTTTTTGATAAAGATTTATCATCAAATTATATATAGAATAAAGAGTATATATGTATGTGGCATTGTGGATTAACACAAACATATAAGGTCTGAAAAGCTGTGATTAAATTGTAAGACAAAAGGGTGTTAATAATTAATCAGTTGATGAAAATGCAGGGGAGACACGTAGGGGACACGGGAGATCTTCAGAAATTTGTCATGAACAGTTAAGATGAAGCTCATAAACATGAAATGGCATTCACAGTTACTTTCGGTTAAAGGTGACTTCAAACTGACATTGTTCAAACCATATATATACGTGAAATTAAAATCATGTAATCAAGTAATAATTTCTCAGAAATTGAATCACTGTTTATAAGAATGTCATCTTATAAAGATATCAAATGCCAATGTGCCATGAAGTTACACCTACTTCTACAACTTTATTCTTCCATGCCCCCACTCTTACAACATCATCTTCCTCTTTTGCTTTCTTCCTTTCCCTTTGTTTAATCTGCTCTGTCCTTTCATCATTCCCTCCAACTCTTATCTTTCCCTCTCTTTCTGTCTCTCCCTAGCAACGTGATTGACTGCTTGATAATGGTCTGAAACTAGAACTAGAAGCTAGCTCAACCTGAAAAGCTTTTTTATTCAAGCTCCCTCTCTCTGTCTATCAATGGCAAAAACGAATATTGGGTCATTCTTCAACAAGTTCCTTTCTCTTTTCATCCTTCTTCTCCACCTTGGTTGCTTCATTTTCACCGCCAACCAAAAACCAACCAAGAAACGCAAAGCCTCGCCTCTTTCTCCTTCTCATAAACCCCACAAAGCTCTTTCCTCAACCTGGTCTTATCTCAAACGCATCTTTTCTACCTCTAAATCCAACTTCAAAAACACCATCCAAACACACCCTACAACAGCAGCAACCACACCAGCGTTAACCTCTGCAAGGAACTCCCAACAATCCCTTGTCTCCATGGTTATCCCACCTGAAACTCATTTATCAGACAGTCCTCCTCTGCATTCCGAGTCTTGTCCAGAATCCGACATCTCATCCGACAACCCGTTCTTCCCTCTACGTAATGATATCTTCCCCTGCACAGCTTGCGGTGAGATTTTCCAAAAACCCCATTTTCTTGAGCAACACCAAGCAAGCAAACACGCCGTATCCGAACTCATTGATGGTGATTCTGGGAAGAATATAGTTCGGATCATATTCAAAACAGGTTGGACCAACAAAGTTAAGAACCCCGAAATCCACCGTATTTTGAAGATCCATAACAGCCCAAAGATTCTTGCAAGGTTCGAAGAATACAGAGAGCTTGTCAAAGCGAAAGCAGCGAGAAATGGTTCTGTAGGGAAACGAGACGAGAGGTGCATAGCTGATGGGAACGAGCTGTTGAGATTTTACTGTTCAACTTTCATGTGTGATTTGGGACTTAATGGGAGTTCCAGCATTTGCAATCAACAGTATTGTAGCATCTGTGGGATAATCAAGTCTGGCTTTTCACCCAAGATGGATGGAATCTCCACGCTATCTTCGAGCTGGAGAGCACACGAGGCCATCCCTGACGATATAGAGGAAGAGTTCAAGTTCATGAATGTGAAACGGGCAATGCTTGTCTGCCGGGTCGTGGCGGGTAGGGTCGGATCAGAAGGGGAAGAAATAAACAAGGAAGATGGTGGGTTTGATTCGGTGATAGGGAGGGGAGGAGGGAGTGTGGCACATACCAAGGTTGACGAGGAAGAGCTGTTGGTTTTCAATCCACGGGCTGTGCTCCCTTGCTTTGTGATTGTATACACTGTTTGAGTGTGAGATCCTATGTACATAATCTTTTTCTGCTCTTTATTTTTCCCTAACCTTGATTTTCTTTTTTTTTTTTTTACTTTTTATTCCCATATAATCACTTGGGGTAGTGAAAATGTCGTAAGATGTGGTGATGTTGGTGGTGATGATGATGATGCTTAATTTATGATGTTTGGTTTTTACAGGTTTTTACGTCTCTGCCTGTGACCGAAAAAATTGGGTTGCGGCTAAAATTGACCATATGATCATGGAGAGTACTGTGATGGCTGTGTTAATCAGGATAACTTGTGTATTGAAGAATGTGATGTAAATTTTCTGTTTGGATCAAAGACTAGTAAATTTTTTCTCTCTCTTTCTGTATTTATATAAAACAGTTGTTGTATGATGGTAGATCTAATTTCAAGCTTATTATCTGCATTTTTCACAGTTTGATATAATTTAAAAGAGTAGATTTGAACTTTGAACTCAGAACCAAGCTGCTCTATGAACTTGCTAATGTAAATGTTCTATACACAGATAAACCCTTCATAAACTTGTTTCATTTCATAAAACTTAGAACTCCTGCAAATTGCTATATATAATTTGATCACCAAGTTATAACTGGTGTAATTATTTTTTCCAGTCCTTTTAGCCACAATGAAATCTGATGATCAAATGTTTAATTATATGCAACATTAGTAATTCCATTTATTTCAGACAACCAAAAAAGAATGTGGGGTGCTAGTTGAAAAACAAGACAATACCATGGCAGAAACAGCTAGCTGCGGTGGTAAGAAAATATCAGTAGCTGTTCTTCTATCTTCTTGCAGAAGTTTAGTAGGGAAATGGGCCAGTACCTGGCCATAACCTGCATTCTGCATTCTTTTTCTTGGTCCTACAACTTAAGGGCAATGATTTGTATATATAGAGGGAAACATTAATCAGTTCATCTGGACCCCATCAAGGTTTTCTAAAGAAGATTGCCCCCAAGTGTGTTACTGAGTTAGACCTCCAAAGATAAAAAAGAAAATGCCAATATATATATATATCAATTAAGTTACGAGGTCGTTTATTTACAACTTTTAACGAGTATACCTGAATAAGGGTGAAAATCAATTAAGCAACTTATGAACTCAGATTTGATTCAATGAATTGACAAGACTATTTTATTGCACCTTGCTCTCCAGCTGGGAGCCCGAGCTCCTAAATGGGAATTTTTGGGCCTTTCCAAGCTCAATGCTGCCATGACTGTATTTGGGCTTTTTTGCATGATCAAGCATTCCAGCGCCACTATTTTGGGCCGGGAGGGTCAACTAAAGTTGTTCTTGGGCTTAAAATGGAGAACCCGGGAACCCGACCCACCTCCATTTTCCGTGCCAAAAAGCAAGGCATATATTCCGCGCAAAACAAAACAAGTTCAAAGGACTAAAAAAACCATCAGCAACGCCTTCAAGGCTTCAATTAAAATAAATCCTTCATCCAAGGTAAAAGCTCAGTTGCTTGTTCAGTTTAATGGCAAAATTCAGACAACATTTGACTTTGGAAACCTCGGGACTTGTTTCAAGATCCATTATTCAAGTTCTTACATTCCTGGAACCTCGCTCTCTGTTTGCCTCTTCCAACCTTCTTTCCACGATGCGTTTACACTGCCAACTCGCCACAACTTTAAGAACTTTTCTTTCTCTTTACTTTTGGATCTCTCTTTTAGCTTTCCCTTTGCGTGCCATCTAAAAAGAATTTGATTTTCAGTTTTCACGTTTTTTGCATGATCCTCTGTCTCTGGAGTTGCTTTCTCTTTCATTTCCAAGGCGTTTGATTGAACTCTTGATCATTTCATTTTTTCTATAGTTCTCTTTCAATTCAGGGGTCCGCTCTTTAATTTGTCCCTAAGTTGGGGGATATTAAATTGAAGCTTGAAGGGCACCAATCAAATTGGTAACTTCCTCTTGTTTTTGGGTTATGTTAAAAATATTACTTTTCTTATTTGTTTGCCAATTATTTCATAAAATATTGGCAAAAACGCAAAAATGGAAATCTTTATCTTATTTCTGACAGAGGTTTTTAGTTGAATTGACTGATTGTAAATGTTTTGGCTCAATTTCCCTTAGTTGCAATTTTTTTTTTCAATTTGAACTTTGGAAGGTCAAAATTATAGCGACAAAAGCAGGGCAACTTCTTATTTCTCAAATCTCAACTTATATATCTAAATATTGATTGAGTTAGCAATATAATTTGCTTGAAAGCTTCTACTTTTGGCACTATTGCTTCATTGAAGTTGCACCAATTTACTAATTTTGGGGCATTAACTTACTTTCCACTCTATTATATATATCTTTTGTTCATGCTTCAGAATTCTTTCACTTCATTGGCAAATGGTCATTTGAAGTTTTGGCAATGTCAATTTGGAGCTGAAAAGTTTGGCTGATTATTCCAAATCTAATGTTTCTTTTCGTTTTGTCTTTTCTTATATTCAGGTAAGTGATATGTCGAATATCAAGTTAGATCAGGTTGTTTGCCATGAGTCTGAGGAATCAGATTTAAGGTGTTGGAATGGGAAAGTGACATCAGATGAAAAGGTTAATAGAGTATACGAGATCCTAAATAGTATCCATAAGCAAGGGCAGAGGTCAATCAGTGGTATCAAAGCAAATGCTGAGTATGGAACATTGACTGATAGGTAGAATTTCCAAAAAAGTTTCAACTTCTAATGGTTCACATGAATTTGATTTGTTTTCTTTGCCATGTGTATTTTGAAAAATTTTCCCATTGCTTACTAACTTTACATGTCCAAGTTTGAAAGACAAGAAATTGGCTTGTTTCAGATAAATTGCACAACAATGAGCACAGTTGATACATTCCTCGTCTTGTTGTTTTTAAATATTTTAAACTTCAGTACTCTGTACAAAAAGTTCTGTTCTGGAGATTGATTTTTTGGTTTTTTGCATTTTTGAAATTTTGAGTCTATGATTGTCTCCTAATCTGTGTACAATTAAACTACTAATTAATCTGTTTGTAATATGATACAGAATTATATGATCAAAGTTACCGTTTTAAAAGTGACATTTGTCTGGTCAATTTGATGTATGTATCACTCTTTCTTCAATAAAATGTGTAAAATCCATTTACTTTCTTCGATCAGGTTTTTTAAAGGGAATAGAGCAGCACTTGGTGACAGTTTCAATCTTCCATTTGATGGGGATGAAAAACCTGCACATATATTTGGAAGAAAATCTGGACCTCTTCTGTCAGGAACAGCCTACTGCATTTCTTCGTGCAGCATGATACTGTTGAATAAAGTTGTCCTCTCAAGTTACAATTTCAATGCAGGAGTATCATTGATTGTTTATCAAGTATGTAACTGTATCTCGATACCAGTATAATAGCGTTCAAAGTATGCTAAAATGTATTGTCATGAGTGTGATAATAATTTCTTTCTGTTGTATTCTGTTATTAAACTGCAACTGAAAAGCATGCAGAATTCTTTAATCATCTTTGACCATTTCCTTGGCAGCACTATTCCTGTCTGTGATCATCACCTTTCAATGTCTTATTCCATGAGAACAGTTAATACTTTGCCAATGTGGAACTTCATTATTTTTCCTGTATTGCACTGCAGAATCTGATAAGTTGTCTAGTTGTTGCCATATTGGGTCTCTGTAGAGCTGTTTCAGTTGAAAAGCTCAATTGGAAGCTGATCAAGGTTTGGATCCCTGTGAATATAATCTTTGTTGGCATGCTTGTATCAGGCATGTATAGGTAAGTTATAGGCTTCACCTTTAGGAATTCCTCTTATGTTATTTAGATGAAAAGTGAAGAGAAGTAGGCTCCTAACTATACATTTTGTGTGTTTTTTTATTTCAGTTTGAAATACATAAATATAGCAATGGTGACCGTTCTGAAGAACATGACAAATATTTTAACAGCAATTGGAGAATATTATGTTTTTCGAAAACGTCAAAATCAGAAAGTGTGGACAGCTATGTTTATGATGGTAAATTTACTCCTTGGGTTATCAGATTCAGGAAAAACACCAATTACTTTACTTTGAGTTCTGTCTGAACTGTATGCTAGTTTCTTACTGTCCCTGGAATTCGAGTGGTTGTCTTGTTGCATGCAACAGGAACCAACTTGAGTACTAGTTTGTTCTTGGAATCTTAAAAATTAATCGAGTCAACACTCTTCATAAATATAAATTCCCTAAAAAAACAAAAAGCAACCCTCTTATAGTGAAGAAAGTAAATTTTCCTTTCTTCAGAAATTTAAGTTTATCATTACAGAGATTATGTTTCATTGTCCTGCAGATTATCTCTGCTGTCAGTGGTGGTATTACAGATCTCTCATTTGATGCCACAGGATATACATGGCAGATTTTGAATTGTATCTTAACTGCTGGCTACTCGGTATGCCTTGAACTCATGATTTTGAGATCTGTAATTTCTAGCTTAGACTATGAAAACCAGGTTTTGGTGCAGATCTCTTTATATTTTTATGGCTACTAAATGAGCTATATTTTCAATTTGCGACAGCTTACTCTGCGGCGTGTGATGGACAAAGCTAAGCAGGCAACAAAATCAGGATCACTCAATGAAGTGTCCATGGTTTTGCTGAATAATTTGTTGTCTATACCCTTTGCCATCTTCTTGATTTTCGTTTTGAACGAATGGGAGTACGTAATAAATGTGTAAGTGAACAACTTAAGTTGCAGTCAGTCACAGTCATGCAAGTTTTTTATCATGCAAGTAGTATCTTCTGTAATCTGACAAATGCAGTTTTTTTTTTTTTTTTGCAGCAATGTGATTAAATTGCCAATGTTTTGGGTTTTTGCAACAGCTAGTGGATTGCTTGGACTTGCCATTAGCTTCACTTCCATGTGGTTTTTGCATCAAACTGGACCAACCACTTACAGGTATTGGGTTTTGTGTATGATTAAACTCAAAAGTGCTAGACAACTACTCTTTAGAAGGTTTATGCCAGTTAACTAGGTTTTATGTCAAAGAGACTGGTTCTTGGATTTTATGGAATGGTAAGGGGCTAGAATGAAATTACAATATATATGGCTAATTCTGCTAATGTTCTTTATGCTCTTATATATAATTAGAGATTTAATCCTCTTTTATTGTGAAAATTTTTCTACTTTGTTAACAAAGCAAATGACTGCTATCTGTGTTAATCCATAGCAACAATCTAGTTCACTTTGGTACGAGGAAGTACGTAGTTGTTGATTAAAATCCATTAGGCCAGCAATGATTTCTTTTTAAGTAACGGTTGATACAAAGAACCTTGTAATTTTCAAATTACTTGTATACAGATGTCATAATTTATTGGTCTCTATTTCCTCCATTTGCATGCTGTCTCGTCTTCAATTCTGTAGTGTATCCTTTGTTTGTGCCTGAATATGGCAATCATATTACCACTGACATCGTATCCTTGTTTTACAGCCTCGTAGGTTCCTTGAACAAGATTCCTATCTCTATAGCCGGTATCATGTTGTTCAAAGTTCCACTAAGTGTACCAAACATGTTCAGCATACTTTTTGGTACTGAAATGAATTGACTCTGCATTTACTATGAATGAATGCTTATAAAACGTAGATTTTCATCTTATGACCAATTGCTGCATGCTTCTTCCAGGTCTGTTTGCTGGAATATTCTTTGCCAAAGCCAAAATGTCATGATCCAAGACCGAACCATTTGCGAATGAGATTAAGCAAACATATATATATATATATATATACATACATACATACATGTTAAATGGCCAGATAGCTTCTCCTGGTGGAAGGGTCATCTAAATCTTGTTTGAACTCCCAACTGCATGCTTCTGTCACACTTGGAAAATGCAAAAGCTTTCAAGGACATAGAAATACATTTCAAAGACATAGAAAACAAAATTTGATTGCAATCTTCAAGGGGTAAACATATATAATACCAATGCCTTAAAATCACAAGTTCATATATATATACAGCTCGGAAAGGTCATAGTAAGCAGAATAATTTTTATTTTTTATTCTCTTCAATTTTTGTTCTGGTTAATAACTTTTGAATATATCCTGTTTAATTGAATATATAAATGGAAAGTATTATTTTTATGATATTATTTTGAATATATCCGTTACTTAATTATACGTATGAGGAAGTGTAACCGATTCTCATAGCTAGCGCGGCTCCTTGTTTTTGTTCTTTCCCTGTTTCACTCGTTAAATTCCTCTTTGTTGGTTTAAATTAGATGGAAAACTATTTCTCACTTGATATGATAAAAATTTGTTGGCTATATATTAATTACCAATGAGGTCAACTAGTGATTAGGAAAATGGGATGATGAGACAATAATGAAAATAAAATATTTACTTACAAACTGATTGGTTAATTTGATGATAAAACAATGTTTGATTTGGAAAATTCAAATGAAAACTTACATATACATGTATGTAGGTATGTATGTATTGATATGTGTGTTGTCTTCTATATATATGAAATGGTGCAATTACAATTTTACATGCACACATACATACACATACATATATATGTGTGTATTTAATTTTTTTTAAAAAATTAAATTCTCATAATTTAGTCCCTTTGTTGTACTTAAAGACAAGTTTGGATTCTACTCTACCGCACTGATGCATCATACTAGTAGTTATATCCAAATATCGATTTTAATGAGATTCATTCAATATAAATTTTTCATTAAGTTTTTTTTTTAATCACAGTTACAATAACTTTTATTATTATTCTTAATTTTATCAAAATCAATCTTATCTTTCATCTATTTGAAGTCTCGATAACAAATAATGATATTGTCATGTTGGGTTATGGAATACATGGTAAGAAAGTATAAATTATTCATATCTCGACTCTCAAAATCAAAATACTATCATCCTGACATTGAAAAGTAATTATAATAATCAAATAGAGACAAAGAAAAAAAAAAGCCTTGAAATGTGAAGGGAATATAACAATACAATGAGAATATAGCTAGGTAGAAAAATTCTGTTGCATATGGCAATGGAATGCATGCATCAAGAATAATAAGCTGGCAATTTACGAATTCCATGTCAAAGCATCAACCAACTTAATTTCGTCAAACATAGAACCCGTCAAAGAACTTCATTGAGAAAAGTAAACAAAGAGACGAATGAAATAGAAAAGAATACAACCATTAATTCTTGGTAGAATTATATATGATTGCAGTCCACCAAACCAACCGAAAAACAAGCACTATGACTAAGATCAATATTCATATCAAAGCTTAAAGTGGAAAACAACCAACCCCATTAGCAAAGCTGCTTGCTAGTACTTTTTATGGTTGAATCCTTTAAGAACTAGGATTGTTCTTAACTAAGATAGCATAAAATGAAATAGACTCAAAAGAGCAAAATATGTTGCTACGGGCAGAATTGAGAGGAAGAAACCATCTCAATCAAGTCCATCTCTTTTCTTCCATCTGAAGAAGCTTGCTCCGACAAGGGGTTCGTGTTCATATTGGTACTGTAGCCCTGGCCAGTGCAAAATGAAGAAGTAGTTGCTCCAATATTCAACAGACGAGACAGGTAGAGATCAGAAAACAGATAGGTGGTTCGAGGCTCTTTTTCTTCAAGGCTATTTGTAAAGAAGTTTGGGTCTATAATGGAAGAGGAGAAGCCACAATGATCAGCTGGATTAGGCCACTGCTGAACATCATTTACCTCATAATTAAATCTGGGGCAGTTAATGGTTGAAGAACCATTGCTTAGGTTATGATCAGCAAGGATTGACTTCACCTCAGTTGGACTTCTGGTTTGGCAATAATCAACGGACGCCTGAGTATTATTGTTATTATCTGAAAAGAAGTTTTGCATGAAAAGCAGTTCTTCATCATATGTTTGAGCAATCAAAGGCTGAGAATCATAGGATTCGGATGGTTCTTCAGGGAGAAAATATTTGAATTGACTAGACAAGTCTTCAGAGAATGTGGAGCTAGAAGGGGTGGTGGAAGTAGTAGAGCAGTTGATCGAGGGGATGTTCGTGGTGCGGTTGTTGCTATTCAGATTTTGGCTTCTAATGTAGTCTTGAAGAATAGATGATTGAGCTTTGCCATTTTTATTATCATTTTGTTTATTCTTCTTCCTTGAGTTTTGCCTCCTTTTTGTAGCATTCCAGTGGTTTTTTATGGCATTTTCAGTTCTACCAGGGATGAACTTTGCAATCTCGGCCCATCGGTTGCCAACCTTGCCATGAGCTTCAACTAATATTCTCTCTTCTTCTTCACTCCAGCTATCTTTCTGAAACCAAGACACCAGAAACAAGAAATGGGCAAATTTGCATTTCCAAAGGAAAATATAAAATAAAAGCGATGAAAATGTTTTCTCATTGAAAGACCAAACGCAAGCCCCTTTTATGACGAAATTAGTGCCTTGTTAGCATAAAAAGGTTCCAAAATCACATGAAAATGAACACTGAACTAAAGGTGGAACAAAATGAGAGAGATGCTGCAAAACGGCTCTGAAACCCGCCATATGATTTGCATGTCAAGGTACTTATAGTTATAGATAAAAACAAAGGCCTTTAAACCTTAATTTTAACAGATTCATGAAAAAGAAAAAGGAGTTTTCATACGCATGAAAGAGAAAAACCCTAAACATGGAAAACGAAATATTCTTCAATGTCAGATCCTTCATGTCCTGTCTTTAGCATATCTTTCGGGGTTGAGAAAATCTCTGATATTTGAATAAGCATAGGTTTTCTGACAAAATCAGTTAAGGCAACGTCCTATGATCAATCCTAATACCGACATAAAAAATCTATTTAAAAAAATCCAAGTTGCTGGTTTCCGATATGTTTATCTAAATCAAATCTATGAGTCCATATATGATAACCTGAAATCGTGGTTATTTTGAAGAACCAAGACGACAAAACCAGGTAAAAGTAATCAAGAAACCCAGTTTGATTATTCAAACTGAAAAAAAAAAAAATTATACTGAAAAATAGAAAAAGATTAAGAAAAAGAAACCTTGATATTAGGCCGTAAATGATTATGCCATCTCTCTCGACACTGTTTTCCGGCTCTACCAACCAAATTCTCAGCTATCTGTGCCCATTTCCTCACTCCATATTGCTTCACCAGTCTTATCAGTTTCCTATAAATATATATCAACCAAAACAAAAACCCTAGAATATTTCAGTATCATTGATTTGCACCAAAAACTAGTACAAGAAACAAAACCCAAATCTTTTAGAAAAAGAATGAGATGGAAAAATGAAGAAAATAAACTGTTTTATATATCACCTGTCTTCATCATCTGTCCACTGACCCTTGACCAAAGCTGCAGAAGCAACTTTCTTGTTTCTCTCCCCCACCCCTTTAGGGAAACTCTTCATTGAAACTTTCAATTCTTTCATTTCCATGTTAGGGTTTTTATCATCTGTCAAAGCAAGGCTGTCCCCATCTACTAAAAGACCATCAACGAAGCTTTCCTCAAGGTTACTTTGCCATGAAACCCCAGCTAAATAGCCACCAATTGCCACACTAGAGAAGGAGAAACCGCGCAGCAACCCATCGGTAGTTGATGAACCAAGTACTGTTCCTTTGCTGATCTTCATGTCGTTTTGCGTTGAATACTGCTGATCATGATGAGAAGAGTGGTTTTGACCCCCTAAAAACCTGTCTATAGCAGATAACGGAGGACTAGGTTTATAAACAGAAGACTTATTATTGCACAGTAAATTCCCATAACCAAAAGCTCCCCCTCCACCTCGTACTCCTTCCATGAAAAGAGACCTAATCAATATTTAAAAAGGAAAGAGACGTAAGAGTCTTTTTTTGGTTTCCTTTTCTAAATTTTTCTAGTTGGAAGAAAACCCCATAACAGAAGCTTTAGACAGAAGAGAATTTAGCTTATAGCAAGGCTTGGAAAAAGCCACATGGAGAAATAAATATTGATGAACTGGTGATATCAATCCAACGATTGAGAATTGCTGCTGGGTGTAACTCCTGAGCTTCTTCTCTCAGACAAAATTGTTAAAAGGAGAGAGATGGAGAGATTAGTGGGTTCGTTTTAAACCGACAATTTATTACATGACTAATTAATTAATCATTTTTTCTTAAAATTTTGCAAAATACTAAATGTTTGAATGAAAAATAGATGGTCATTATAGCTAAGAGAAAATTTTCCTATTCCTTAGTATGGATAAGAATGATGCCATCATTATATTCATATAAGACAATTGTAACCCTACTTGTTTAAGCATTTTGCCAATGCAATTATGGGTGATTTTTGGGTTAAATTCCACAAGCAAAATTAGTAAAATGATAGATAACTCTTATAATATATTAAAAAAGTAAAATGTGTAAATTTCTTAATTTCATTTGTAAAATTAAAAAAATTTCACCATAGAATTTTAATTAACAATGCCGTGACAAAAATGGAAGGTCTCAAAAGAGTAGAAAACCTTGGTGCCCTGCCCAAGTGAAATATTAAAACTAAATAATACTATGAACTATTGTTAGGGGGTAAGGAAATCGGGGAGAACTTGAAGCCCTTGGTTTTTAATCCTCCTTTGGATGGCTTCTAATTGGTTATTATTATTAAAATTAATTTTTAGGAATTATAAGTAATTAAATAATTAATTGATGTGTTTGAAGAAATTAATTGTTCTTTTTATACATGAGAGAAATGGAAATGGCTGCACATCCGGACTGACAAAGCTGAGACTGGTGTATTGACCATTGAGCTGCTAGATTGTAGCCACATCGGGAGGATTGCGGACTTGGTGCATGTGGGGATGGCTTGTTAAACTTCTTAAATGAAGGAGAATTAGAAAGGGAGCTAGGTCACATTTGTTTTCTTGATTAGTCACTTTGTTTTTAGTAGAAAAGATGAAATCCTAATTGAACAAAAATATAAATGGAGTTTGTTGCCCATTTGAGTTTAAATAAAAAAAATTTAGACGAAATTATAAATTAAAACTTCTCCAAAAAAAAGTTAATATTTAAGATTTGTATCTTATATGGGAAGTTCATTTTGAGTCTTTAGATGAACTCATAAATAAAAATTCTCCTAAAAGTGTTAATGTTTTAATAACAAATATTTAGTGAATTTTTTTTTTTTACATTCTCAATATCATACCCTCCATAATTCATAAAAATATAAGATTTCATATTTTTTATTTGGTCTCATTTTTCTATTGATTTGATTATTTGTTAATTAAAAAATATTTTATTTATTTTTTCTTTAAAAAGCTTGTGATTTATTTTAATAAAATTGATTATTTCAATTTTTATCTAATAAAAATATACTAAAAATATTATAAAATAATTTTTAATATTCTATAATATTTTTTCATAAAATTTTTCAGACACTATTTTAACTTCTTTATGCTACGCTTTTAAAGCAACTCAACTTAAGCAACAACTTTTTTGGGCCGGACTTAGGAAGAAGCCTTACCAGATTCATCGGCCCAACCAAGTAATTTATCAAGGATCTAAATGGGATGGGATTCATAGCTCATTGAAAAGGCCTACTCGACTTGTTTAGAAACCCATGTTAGAGGGGCTATTAAGAAGCCCATGCTGAAATATGAGCTACAATTTTTTAGTTTTTATTTACCACAGAAAAGCGTTTTTGAGGCTAAATAAAAAGAGAACAGAGAAACAATTCAAGTGTAGTCTCTTTGTTTGTTTTTTTTTTTTTTCTTGGTACATTGAAGGAAAGTATCAAGAGAGAAACGGGGGATTTAAACCCCTTCTCATGAAGGTGAACTAGTAAAGTTTAGTTCCTAACTTGAATTTAATTTCACCACATTCTTAATTTCCTGGACATCTCTAAATGCAATAAAAGGACGATGTTTCATAAGAGTTCAATTCATTCGAAAAGGAGAAAAGATTCAGAAAATCAATTAGAGATCAATTATTATTTTTCTTTTTTAAAAATGTCACAATTTGGAGGTAAACTTTATTTTTTAAAAAAAATTTATAAATTTAAAAAAGTGTTAAAATTTAAATTTTAACATTATTAGATATCACTTAACAATGATTACGTGAATTTACTAAACTAAATTAAATCATAAATTTTTTAAATAATTCTAAATTACAATATATATTCATTCCAAAAAAAAAAGATATATTAATATACTTGTTTTTCTCCCTCTCATAAGATATAAATTTTCAAAATTCTATAATAAATCATAAAATTTTTTATTTTTTTCACTTAAGTCTCTAAATAAAAAGTGAGTGGGTGGAATGAGTGCATATCTCACCATCGATTCATACAAATTGGAAAAAAAAAAAAAAAAGTAGTCACCCCATGGATGTGACAATTAATTATTAATTAGATTCATGCATATACTTTTTTTTTAACTATTCAACCCAGAAGATTAAAGTGGATATTCTTTCTCTTTTCTTTGAATTTGGTAATAAAAATAGTTAATGAAATAAGAATAAAAAATCAAGAGAGGAAGATAGAGGTTGGTTGAAAGAGGATGGGGCAGCCGGGCAGTAGTAAAAGGGTAGATATTGGGGATAGGAGTAGCTTAACTATCACCGTCTCTTCACGTGAAAAAACCATCAGTTTCTGCTTGGCCAAACTCAAACCCAAGAATGATTGAGAAAAAAAAAAAAAAAAAGAAGGGAAAGGAAAGGACCTCCATAATGTGCATTGCTTTTCCGTGTGTTTAGAAGAATGGTTTATTAATGCAATGTTCATTCATATTAATTCATATTTGAATTTTTTTCCCCTTCTTCGTACTACAATACTTGAACAACTTTTGATTTGCCCTTTTGGCTCAATGATATTTTAAGAACAACAAGAAGGACAAGAAGAACATTACAACCCTCAACAGTTACTTGGACAACAGTATGAAAACATTTGCATGTGCATGGCCAATCGGCCTTAACCTCTGCCAATTTGTCAATCAACTCAATTCGTTTCGTTGCTACTGGATCAACCTTTTACTCGATAAATATCAAAAGGGCTGTGTGGATTCGACAAAATTTTCATAATTTCTGGAGAATTTAGTTTGGTTACCCTGCTTGACAAAAGAAACAATTCGAAAGGCAATAATCAATTGGCAGCTAGCATTCTATAGCTAAGAGTGTTGTGTAAATCAACCAGCATCTTCTAAAGTTATAAATCAACTTAGTTCTGACGTTATAAGTTGAATTAATGTTGAAACTTATTTTTGTTCTTTCCGATGCATACTTGATCTGCCAAGCATGAAATTACTCTTGGCCAGTAGACTTGTTGATCAGGTATATAGCAAAATCCAATTCATCTTGTTCTCTTAGCATGAAGGTCACTAGCACTTCAAACTTATATATTTGTTTTCCGCAATAATAACTCTAATTTCAAGTCAAGGTCTAATCAGAACTGTTCAAGGATAGACCCTTTACAATTATCACTTGCAAAAGCAAAAATGATGAAAGATCTGTAATATCAGACAAAAGGAGTCAGTTCATTCTGCAATTAACTATTCCCTTCTTCTGCCAGCCACGCACCGGATACAACTAGCTTATATTATTAGTTAAATAATTTCCTTCTATATTATTGCAAACAAAACCAAGATGTTTAATTAATTAATCAAAATTAAGCTTGCAAAATATGTACGGACCTCATAAGAAGCATGTGTTTCTATGGCGGATTTGATATTCGTAGATTCAATCCAGCATTTTAAAACAAAGATGATAATATAACTAAAAAAATTTAAAATGGTTCTTATATTAACAAGAAATACTAATTACAAATCGTCATGTGGTTTGGCGTAAACCAAAGAAAAAGAAAGACAAGTAAGTTTAAGCTGTGCAAAATAGGTTAATAAAGCTTCATGCCTCCTCCAATGATCCATTCCTCCAAGTCCAATCTCCAAAGTTCCCAATGGGTCCGTAGATCTCGAGTGTCAACCTGCCTACTCCAGTCCAGTACTCCTACATAGGACACTGCACAGTGCTTATTAAGTTTCCCATTGTCGCCACCTTCCTCACGTGAAACCCTGCTTCCAAAAACCTCAAATTGCCCGCCCTTATCGAAATAGCCTCACCACGATCTCACCGCTTAAAAGGAAATATTCGTATTAAAAGAGTAACGCAAGTTTCTAAAACAAGGAATTCTTTTCTTTTCTCCCCTTTACTTTGTAAAAAAGATTCCGAAAGATAAGGGAACAAACAAGAGGGGCGGTAACTATATGATTTCCTCAATGGGTAATGCATCTGTTTTTTCTTTTCTTTTTTTTTTTGCCTTTTTCTTTTAAATTTAAGCTTCTTGGCTAGTCTCTGGAGAGTCAAGAGGGAAACAAGTATCCTCCCCACCAGTATTCCATAGAAAATGGGCATAGTTTGCCGCGTAATGAGCGTTACTAGGATCTGCTGAAATGGCTTCCAAGAAAGTTTCTTCAGCTGCCCATAAATCATTTCTCACTCTCCATAAAAAGCTCGCGTATTTACTGTATGCTTCCGCGTCCGCTGGTTCCACTTCTATTGCTGTTTTGAAGTACTCTTCCGCTCTGTTTCAATGCAATAAAACAATCGATCAAGCAAAACCCTTAGTCAAAACAGCTGTAATCTCTATCATCTGAAGTAAAGTTTAACTAACTTACATACGCAATTGGAAAAATCTTTCTTCCTTAAGTCAAAAAGTCTAATATTCAACAACTACTTCTAAAGGCTCTAGAGCACGCGGAGGAGGGGGTGATATTTTGCTGTTAAGCACGTGAAAGTCACGTGCACAAAGGTGATATATTGGGATATTTTCATATTTGCCATGAAAGCGAAACACTGAGAATCTGTACCACACAGTCGGCGCTATCAAAGATTCAAGAAAAACCCATCCCAAGTATGGGCAAAACGACAAGGTTGATAACATTCTAAAGGGTTTATAAATTATTTCTGCGCAGTCAGATACAAAAAGCCAAGAAATAGATATTATTGCAGTTCCTACTTCAGCTGAATCAGCTCAGTGCTTGAATCGGTGTTTATTTTCACCTTGAATCTAGACAACCAATAGTACCATGCTATCGTGATGAAGTGAAAAAGCTAACTTAAAATAGAGCAAAATATGTGGAAATAAAGGAAATTTAATGAAAAGATGGCAAAGATTCTGTACCTGTCATAATCATGTGCAACAAGGTAGAGAAACTGAGCATAATTGGCAAGAAGTAGAGAGTTGTTAGGCTCTTCTGACAACCCTGTTTGGTAACGAAGCTCTGTTCTGAAATAATCTTCATAATCACCATCAGGTTCGATCTTTGCAATCACAGGCGAAATAAATCTCTGAATTGTTTCATGATCGAGAGTTTCATCTCTAAATAATTCTTGCATTTTCAAAGCTTCATCAACAAATGAGTTCCAAAGAATGAGTTCTTCTTCTGCAGCTACTCGCCTTGGTGTTGACTCTCTTTGTGCTTCTCCTGTTGTTGCTGGAGATGATAACTGGGAAGCACCATCAGGAACAATGGTTCTGAATTGGTCAGCTTTATCAAACCATCCGTCACCGTCATTCCCCGAAGCAACCGGCCTCACTTTTCCGCCACCGCCATTGTTTCCGCCAATCGAAGTAGTTTTTCCGCTCGATGACGACACTGAAAACGACTTTATTGACGAAGAATCAAACGTTGGATGCTTCTGATCTTGAACTTCAACAACATAAGATGCCGGTGTCTGATTCGCTGCTGCTGCTGCCAGAGCCGCGTTGCTTCCCATAGAATGAACCGAATAATTCGCTAACAGGATCATCACGTAAACCATCAAAGTCGGTGTATGAGAAAACACCTGTTGGAACAACCAAACAAACGAAGCGTGCATCTCTTTTTGAACTCTAACAAGAATCCCTTGCAAATCTTCATAGAACAAAAGCTCTCGCATTTGCAAAGTGTAACTATGAAGCTCGCGAATTATAAAAACCATCGAAGAAAACGCCTTCTTCATTGAACAATAAGCCGATTCCCCTGCTTCTCGAAACCCTTCTTGCCATTGTAATTTCCTCTGTATAATTCGAAGCGAAAGCGGAAGATCAACGCTGTTGGCTTTTCGTTCAATGCTTGATGGGATTATTTCTTCTCCTCGTTCTAACCATGACGGTTGTTCGTTAAATTTCAAAGATTCTGTTTCGGAATCGGAAACGGTTTCCGTTTCGCTTTCAGAATTCAAGGAATTCGTGTTACTTTTGCTCCGGGTATTATCATTGTCGTCTGATAATTGGAATCTGAGAGCCAATTCTTGAATTTTTTTTGAAAATTCTTCGTCGGAGAAGGCGTCTAAACTAGCGCTGCAAACTTTTCTTAAAGTTCTGGGTCTTGGTTTGAGCAACTCGAAAGATTGGGACCGTTGGATGCTGGTGGAGTGAGAACCAAACAGAGCAGATCGGTTAAGTCTTTGAACCGACTTCAAACTAAGAGCGGCCTCGCTACGGCAGCGTTTCAGCATGGAAGGTGAAGAGATTGACGAGGCTAAAGCTTGAGGGGAAGATGGAGGTTGCGGAAGAATTGGGCTTGACCATTGTAAACCTGCCGTTGCTGCTACTTTCACTACCATTTGTTAAAGCTTGGTGGTGAAAATTAAGGCTTGTCGAAAGCGGCTGCCGAACACAAACTTTAGTAAACTGAAAAGCTTGCTGGAAAACTCTCTTTCAAATAGGAATCTCCTCACTCATAGCTTCATCCTTTAATAAGAACCTGGAAAATTAAAAAAAAAAAATGTCTTTTCGTTGAAATCACCCTCCCTGAAATTCAAAACAAGAAATAATAATTACAATAAGTCAACAAAATTTTAAAACAAAATCCTCAAAAAGTGAGAAACTGGGATCTATAAAAGCACATTTGCTACCATGAAAATCGGATCTCGAAACTCGGAAACCGATGAAATTCGAGATTCCTAAGAAACTTAGTTTAGTCTTTTTGGTTCGGACTTCAATGAAATTAACAAATTAAAAAAAAAGAATTTTTTTGCCGACCGATTAAAAGCTCCGGCGAAGCCCGAAATCAAAGCTTATCAGAAAACAGAGAAAGAGCCCCAAGCATTCCTCCTCTTTTATACAACAAGCTCTTTGGCTTTGGCTCTCCCAATATGAACTGAAAAAGGAAGAACGAATAAAATATATAATTTAAAAAACCAGGAAAAAGGAAAAAAGACATCTAACGGACTATGCCGGTTAAAACAGCGTAAAGAATTCATTCATCAATTGTCTATAAACAGAAACCATGATGTATTCCACAGGTAGATCCGGTTAACGGTTTGTTGAGATTTTATTTTCTTTTTTGGCTTCTTTATTTACTTTCATGTATTTGGCGGAGTCCGGGTCAGACGCCACCATGCAAGGGGCCAACTCCAAATTGAGATTTTCTTCTTCTTTTTTTTCTTTTTTTTCGCAAATTTTCATTTCTACGCGGCTCTTTTCACGGACGAAGGCGGAGATGATCTAGCCGTTTAAATGCGACACGTGTCTATACTAACACCGCCTTTGACGTGAGAAAGATCAGAGAAACCGTGATCATTCCACCGACCTTTCCTTTTTCGACACGTGTCCTTTTCCATACCTTTGCTTTTATGGAATTTTCAATTTTGATGGTTTTTATCTGATTTTTAATAGTTTATAATATGTTTCATTTTGTTGGTCCGTTTGTAAAATGCACAAATTTTATAAAATAATTTATTTATTTGAGAATAATAACAAAAATTGCATCCAATCTTTAAATTTTACTTCATAATATTATAATTTTGTTTTAAAACTTTTAATTTATATTGAAAAAAAGCTTTTTCAATTTCATCTTTTATTCATCCAATTTAGAATACGATTTTATACATAAATTAAATGTTTTAAAGATTAAACACGTTTGAATAATGTTTTTATTTGAGAAATGTTCTCTATCTTTTTAGAAAAAAAGTCACTAAGACTGAAGCTTAACTGGTTAACAATCATTGAAAAAGGAATGTGCCTTTTAATCTATTTTTGAAATGTCAAACATGACCCTAACTTCTCGTAATTATTGGAAAAAAATATCTTTTATGCAGTGAAATTTAGTCAATGAAGCAAATATATCTCAAATATCAAGGAATTTAAAGCAAGTTTCCAAATAAAACAAATTTTTGGTTAGGTTGTTTCTTTGTAAATTTCATTCACTACAAGGGTTTAAGCTTTTTGTAATTTTTTTTTAATGTTTAGTGACATTTACTAAAAATATTTATGTGGTTTACAAAAAATATCACTAACAGTGTCGGCTATACAAATGTCGAGAAAAATAGTGATATTTTATAAAAAATATCGTTAATTTAGTAACATTTGTATAAAAAAAATACTACTATTTTGGTGATATTTATATAAAAAAAATGTCACTAATTATAAAAAAAATACCGTTAATTTAGTGATATTTGTATCATAAAATATCTCTCTATTTAACGGCATTGGTATCGAAAAACATAACTAAGTTAGTAGCGTTTATATCATAAAAATGTCATTAAATTAGTGACATTTGTATAGAAAAGTGCTAATAAATTTAATTGTATTTTATGATACAAATGCTACTAAATTTAGAATTTAGTGACATTTTTTCATACAAACGTCGTGAAATTAAGAAATTTATTTTTTAAAAAAATTTCTTTTAATATTCATTATTATCATTAAATAAAAATGTTAAAAGAAATAAAAATGAACTTAAATTCATAAACTAAATATTATAAATACATAACTTGTTCAAATATGCATGTAATACAAAGTTTGATAATTAGTATAATAACGTTCAAATTATTTTAGTATATTAACCAAAAAATTTATAATGTATTAAATTGATAACTGTATAGATTTGGAATACTGTCATTTGATTAAATATTTTTTTAATCTTTGTCACTAGCATGCTCAAGAACTTGCTGAATAATATCATATAAGTTTAATACTTAATAATAAGCTATTTTTATATTAAAAATATAAATATTTACTAAATATAATACCTAAGTTGGTGGATCACCTAGAGTAGTTCTTGAAAATTGTTGTTGCACAAAATTCATAAGAGTATCATATTGATCATGCAACTACTAAAATTTTACATGCTCTTGGTTTATTTTAACACATTCTTCTTCAATTTTAGTACATTCATGTTCTCTTTTTACTTTCATTTACTGAAAATGTTATTGCATAGTTTGCAACTCATTTCTCAATATGAAAATATCTCGCAAAAATTGATTTGTTGAGAATGTAAATTGCTGAGAGCTACACCTATAGTAACTAGATAGTGTTGGACCGAATCCAAGGCCTCAGACCTATTCATGTCTTTCTTTTCTAGTAATTTTTATGAAAATCTAATTTTTCAATTCTTGCATGTTGACAGAACCATCTGATGCTACTTCAATCTCAGCAACTATTTTTTTTTCTTTTTTTTTATAAATTAATCATATAAAACTATCAAGTTTAATGATTAATTCATAATATGTTTAAAATAAAAAATATTTACTTTTTATATAAAACAAATGTAACAAATTATCACAATTTCTTGTATTTTAACATTTAGGTAAGATTCATATTTTTTTGTATGGGTTAAACTAAAAAGTTTCATACATCCAATTTTTTCACCTATCTCAATCTCCTATATAAAAACATATATTATTGTTAAATACATATTAACCACAGCTTATTCATGCATATCAAGTTGTCAATCAAGTTCAAAAATTTAAACAAGTTTAATATCATGTATTTAATCTATCTAAATTGTTAGAATAGAAATATGACTATAAAATTATATTTTTACCCTTTAACGACACAAAAGTCTTAAACAAATGTAAACATGAAAAGCATGTTGGCCTTTCACACATATCAATTATGAAAACCAAATTCAATCATTTGAACAAATTTAATATCATATATTGAAGCTATCCAAGCTGTTAAAACAGAACAATAACAGCAACTTTGTATTTTTGCCTTTTAATGGTAAAAAAAAATCTTAAACAAAGGTAAACAACAACTTTTTCACATTTATCAACTGTGAGAACTAAGTTCAATCATTTGAAAAAATTTAATATCATGTATTAAAGTTATCTAAATTATTAAAATAGAAAAATAACAGTAAATTTGTATTTTTACCTTTTAATGGCCCGAAAAATCTTAAATAGAGGTAAACAACAACTTTTTCACATATATCAACAGCAAAAACCAAGTTCAATTATTCAAAAAAGTTTAATATTATGTATTGAAGCATCCAAACTGTTAAAATAGAATAATAATAGCAAATTTATATTTTTTCCTTTTAACGACAGAAATAGTCATAAATAAACGTAAACGATAACTTTTTCACAAATATCAACAATAGAAATCAAGTTCAATCATTCAGATAAGTTTATTATCATGTATTAAAGTTATCTAAACTGTTAAAATAGAACAATAATATCAATTTTGCATTTTGCCTTTTAACGGCATAAAAAGTCCTACACTAATGTAAATGTTAGCTTTTTCACACATATCAAATGTGAAAACTAAATTTAATTATTTCGACAAGTTTAATATCATGTATTGAAGCTATGCAAATTGTTAAAATAGAACAACAAATTTGCATGTTTGTCTCTTAACAGCACAAAAAGCTTTAAATAGACATAAATGATAACTTTTTTACACATATCAATTGCAAAAACTAGGTTCAATCATTCCAATAAGTTTATTATCTTGTATTGGAGCTATTCAAACTGTTAAAATAGAACAATAATGATAAATTTATATTTTTACCTATTAACGGCACAAAAAGTCCAAAGTAGATGTAAACAATAACTTTTTTATATATATCAATCATAGAAACTAAGTTTAATAATTTGGATAAGTTTAATATCATGTATTGAAATCATCAAAACTATTAAAACAAAACAATAATTACAAAATTGCATTTTTACCTTGTAACGACATAAAAACTTGAAAATAGACATAAATTGTAAATTATAATACATATATTAACAATAAAAATCAAGTTCAATAATTCGAATAAGTTTAATATTATAAACTTACTATTTCTTTTTGCTTTCTTGCAAAACTTTTTAATCCACTTGTGTGGTTATATTTCTGTTGCTTTCTGCTACCAATCCTAATTTGTTCTCTTTCCTGTCATAAAAAATAATTACGTATATGGTAGAAATATAAATATTACCAACTTAAATCATAAAATACCTTTATTATTAAAATTAATATTAAAAGTTATAAATTAGTGCATCTTCTTTTCTTAAAAATCAAAATCTAACTAATTATTTATATTGCCACTAATCACATTATGGGGTAGATTTTTGTTGTGGCTTCTACAAGTATTATTTTCATCAAAATATTTTTTTTTCAAATAATGCTTATAGTCTTTCAATTTCTTTCCCATTGACTTAAGCACAAATGAAGGTGATATTTTAAGTACAAATCTTGACTGTAATAATACAAAAAAAAGTTTTAATCAATAAATCAAAATTAAAATAATTAATTTTTTATATGTAATTAATTATATTAATACCTCGATAAAGTTTAAAGCATCGACCTTAACTTCTGCTAGAATTTTATGCCATCTTTTGTAATGAATAGGCAATTTCATTCCATTATGGGCAATCATGCTTAGAAATTTAGCCAACAGTTGAGACTTTTCACCAATTAATTGCCTATCAAAATTTATAAACACTGCAATATGCTCATTCGGAGGTAATGCAAATAATTTTTTCAAAGTTGTTTGAACTCTGGTCTTCCATTGACTATTATTATCAACAGTAAAAAATAAAAAATAAATTTGTAAATTACCAATACTTTAATCATTATAATCAAAATCTAAATATGGGGTTTATGATACTTGCACTCAAATTAAAAGTAGAATTAATTAATGAGATACTATCTAAACCTGAACCTTCCATATTATCAGATCCAATATCAATTGAAGAGTTAGAAGTAACTGAGTTAGAACCGACAGTACATACATTTTTTTTCAAAGGATTTAGTCCATAGCCAAGATCAACTGGTGCCATAGATGGTTCTGAACTAATATCTCTAATATGTATTCATTTCAAACCACTTATCCACATTATAACTTAGCTGCATCATAAAAATGAATATATAAAAAAACATATGTAAAGAACATATCGATTTAATTAAATTAAAAGATAATGTATGATTTATAATACAATAAATATAGAAAAGCGAATGCGACATAAATTACATACAAGCATTTATTATACTATGTTTTAAATACTCGAATTACATAATATGATTGATCCATTATGGTTTATAAATGTCTTTATTAACATCTTCGCGAACTCACTAAGCAGAGTTGCTGGAGATATTTTCATTCAAGTTTTGTTTAGCAAAATGAAAACTTTCAATTCCATGTTTAACATCATCTCTGGTATCTAATCCTA